AAAATAGGGTGAATAATTAACAAAGTAATACATAAACCGTGAGCAATATTTCGAATTTTACTCCAATACCTTTTTTTCGTTTCAATAGTTTAAAAATACTAGATAGTTCAAAGTTATTTTACCACTAAGAGGATTTAAAAAAAAAAAATAACGAAAATAATAATGCATTTATTTTCAAATTCATTTAAAAAAAAAAATAATTTTGCAAGAAAATCGACAATCAAAATCGCTTCATTTATCCCATTCTAATCGCAATTTGTTTTCTTCTTTCTTTTCATTTTTCTCTTTCTTTCTGTACGTGTCTTGTGTTGTTTGGGTGTGTGTGTTAATACAAACACTGTTTTTGAACACGCACGCGTGCACACACACACACACACAGGCTTATTAGCGCCAATGCCTGGAATGGTTGCGCCCGGAATAATGCTGCCAGGGCCGCCGATGATGCCAATGATGCCAAGATTTCGGTGATCAGCTCAAGGACCGCTGTATGTGACGACGGCGGCCCGGGCAATCAATATTACAACTGCAAATCCAACCGCAGTTCAAACAGCAATTGCACCTATCTCCGTTATGTACACACATCAACCAACAACAACACAACAAATTATTAAACAGCTGCAACTTTAGATATACGCACTCTTAGGATACACATACATATAATAACGTCTACTATTTTATGGTCAACGAAAAGCGGCACACCCGTCGAAATTGAAGAGAAATTCATATCCATGAACTTTTTCATTTCGCAATCGACAATGAAGTGCGCTTTGGAAGGACTTCCAAGGAATCTTCTATGGAAACGCAAGTTATTCTCTTTTATGTCAACTTGAAAAAAAAAAGAACGAACTTTTAGTTTTCTTTTTTTTCTGCTAATTTTGATCAAAGTCTTATAAACATATATTAGTTTTGTGTAACTAAAATAATACAAAAAACATACATTCAAAATTCCAATCCAAAAAAAATGTTCACACAACACTTTAAATACGTAATTTACACGAGAGAGAAAAAAAAGGAATCAAATATAATTGAGGTTCACAATATATTGGACACCGATTGGTACGTACCTTTTCATATTTTCCTACGGTAGATACTTACACAATATTAAATGGATATTCAAGAATCAACGGACATTTAAAAAACAACAATCACACACATATATACATTCACACAACCAAATGTAGCTACCACTGGAGATCAATTCAGTTCATCGATAAACCACAATGAAAAAACAAACAAAACGATATTGAATTTGTGCTCGACCTAATAAAATCTACTTTAAACCGTACCCAAAACTTCTGTGCTAATTTTCAATTCTATCACCCGGAATTTGGATGGGTCGTCATTGACGGCATAGGTCACATAATGAACCTTACTAACAAAATGAGCTTCACTCAATCAGTGTGAGTCATTCATTCAGTACGACTCATTCAGACCCAGTGAGTCACTCATTCTAGAAGAATGTTATCCAAAATTGAGAAAATCTATAGGGAGAATTCTCGATGAATGGACAACAATTCAATTATCAACAATTCTTCTTATCAATAAATTGAACTTTAATCAAATACTTAACATCGGATGACATTCATCCAAGTTTTTCAAAAAAATTCAACTTCTTTACCCTATCTAAAATCTAAAATTTTAAATCGAAATTCGAATGAACTTACACACAACAGAATAGCCAATAAAATCAAAACTCCACTTGTTTTCAATTCACCCACATATTTCAATTGGCTTCTTAGAAGCCAATATTCAAATAATCGAGTAACTAATTGCTGTGCAATTCTAATTTCAAGCAATCTCTTACTAAAGTGGACCTTAATACATGAATACAGTTAAGAAAATATGACACAAATACAAACACAGACACATACACACATGATGGATCATCATCACCAGCAAAGGGTGATACCCAAAATTGCTTCTGATGAACCAATGAAATGAGAACAGAAAAAATGTTTTTGTTATTTCGGTGGAATGGATAAAAAAGAGGAATTTTTAGAAAAATTCAATTTGAACCAAACAAATACAACAGTAAATTTTGAATTTTTATTTTCACCAAAAATTGAAGGCAAGTGATAATGAGAGGTCAAAACTGTCAGAATCACAAAATTAACGTTGGATCCATTGGAATGGATTCCTTGTCGATGTCAACTGTTTGAAAAGTGCATAAAATCCGAACGAAAAAAACAAATTGTCAATTATGCCAACCGAATAAAACAATAACCTCAAGTTAAGTAGCAAACATTTATGCGCCATTCAAACAAGACATCAACAGGCGACAAATGTTGCACTCTTTTTGTTTCTATCTCGTAAATTCTTGTTTACCAATTGTGATTGTACATGAAAATTTGTCACATTAATTTTGTTGAGTGAGATGTCCCTTGTCAATGCACCAGCAAATTGGGCGACTGTATTTGACAGGCGAGTTCGTTGAATTCACAGCGTTTTCATTTCAGATCAATAAGAATGGAATGATTGCTGTTGGACGTTTCAGTCCTTGCCTTCTGAATAAGAAAAACGGAATATTGTTAGCAAAATTGAATTAAAAATCAGAACATAAAAATAAACCAAAAAAATCCAACAACAGTTTGTGCGTTAATTTTAGTATACTTGTGTTGATTACGGAATATGGTGCTGATCCATGCCAAAAATATTTCAGAACACTTTGTTCGGGTCGCAAGTCCTAGAAATTATATTGTATCTCAAATTAAACTGAAAAAAAAACCGAAAAAAATGATCGTAATGGAATTTTATGAAACTTTAATAACTTTATGCATATAAATACAACACATACACACACAGAATATTGTTGGTCCGATAAATTCAATGACGCAAACAGATGGAATTACTAAATACTTACGCATAATAATAATTGTAAAGATTTAATTGATGTTAAAATCATGATTTTCAAAATAAAAACTACAATAAAATGATAGAATGGAATTCTTTGATGGAACGAATCGAAATCATCAAAGTCAAAATTCTCAAATCAAAACTCTAGAATCATCAATTTCGTTGTGTGGGAAATAGTCTGAAAAAAACAAACAAACAGTCTTAAATGTAATCACGTGAAATGATGAGAATTGTGCACATTTTTGTATAGGGCCACTCTCGTGAAACGACATTGAACAGCATTAAATAAATGAAATTCATTCAAAACTCAGACTAATTATTGCATTTTTACTCATTCATTAGAAGCATAGAGAATTTTGTTTTTCCAGCGGAACACAAAAAATGTTAATTGAATGGACATGTAATGCGAGACCATGGTAATATGGAGAATGTATCTTACATCATCGCGTTGACCGTTACGGTGAAAATGCCTTTGAAAACACCAACGACGAGTGAAAAAAAAGATACCCTCAAAACAACTTTCGTTTTGTCCCATCGCGACAATACGTTGACGACCCTTTTTTATTGGACAAAAAGTGCTTTCGGTGACACTGAAACGACGGCTTTCGGTAAGTAGACACAGGCAGCGAACCGAAAAAAAATATACATGAATTCAGATATATGCATAACAAATAACAAAAACGTAATTTTGCAGAATGATTCAAAAATATGTAACGTAAAAATGCTTTGTCGTGCATATTCATCATTTGAAAACTAATTTGGCAAAAGCACTGCTGACATAAGCAAACATCTGCCTGCTGAAAAAAAAACTCAACAGCTAGAATTGTAAGGGCGAATTAATTTTTACACACAAAAATACATATTGATATACATACGGCTATAGTATTCTATAGAAAACTTTAACAAAAGAATAACGATCTACGATGGTTTAGTTTGCCAGTATGAGCAGGTATAATTTCTCAATGATGGGCGCCTCATTTACATAAAAGAATTCTAGCTGCCATTCTTACTTTTTGTTTCCCTAACCATTGAGTGGAAAGCTAATATTATCACACTCACACGTATGGTACTTGTGCCACTCTCATCAGCCAATCGCAACTGGAGTATTTGAAACAATAGATGATAATGGCTCAATTTTCTCGGAAGTAGAAAATTTCACAAAGCCAAATTACACACGAGCAGCGATACCATCAACCGAAGACACGAAATTCTATCTTATGAATCAAAAGAACTATCTCTTGGCAACTACTTAAAATCTTGTCAAATATATTGTCTGATGGTTTCTTAGCGTTAATTTCCTTGAAAAATATTTCTGATTAGCGTGTGTTGTGCCTCCGCATTCGATGCGCCAGTCGCATCAGGAACACTAATTTTGATTAGCTGCGGCAAAATCAATATTTGCAGTGCACGGGCAGGGGCACGCACAAAACGCAAAACTTAGTTGTGTTTTGTAAACATGTTTTATTTTCGGTTTGAAAAGCTATTTTCATTTACTGGCTGCACATATACTTGGGTCGATTTTCCGCACTGGCACCAGTCGACTCCAAGCCATAAAAAATGAATTGAATATCACGCTGTCGACACTTGAGGTGACGACATACATAAAAAAAACAACAACATCAACAACAAAGTTGTCGAAAATCCAAATACAGTAGTGTTTACGCATGATTCAGAGTAAAACCAGAAGTACGTGCACGCGTTGTAATATTGCGAAATGAGTTGCGATTTACTTACTCACTTGGAAATAAGCGGTCCGGCAAGTTCAAGACATATCGACAGAAATATTCTAAGAATGAATGAATCTATTCATTTACATACAAGCTATAAAGCGGCTACCACTTTTGCGTCGATGATTAATCATGGGAATGATGCATGTGTGAATCGAGTGAGTGGAGATTTTTCCAACATACATATATGTGAAGCAACAGGCATAAATTTGAATGAGAAATGGGGAATTGAACAATATAAGCGATAACGCATTCCCACTGAGTGTTAGGGCCATTGAGTCATCAATAGAGAGTGGGCAACAGAGAGAGATAGAGTGAGCAAACGGGAATACAATGTGTCGGTGTAAATTTTCCCAATGTCGTCATACTCGTCCAAATGCAGTAATAGTATCTCCCATTGCATGCGGTAGCTGGTGAGTCGAGCGACTACACACATTTCAATTTGTTTGTCTCTGTGTCAACCGAAGCTAATCAGTCAGTTTCAACGGTTGGTACTGTCACACTCTGCCTAAATGCGAATATTCAACATTCACGTTTTTTGTGTGTGTGTGTTTTTGCTTGTATTTGTGTTTATAGCGAAAGAAAGACAGAAAAAAGCCAGTTCAAATTTATGGTCTTATAAGTTTTGTATGCCATAAGTCTTGCATTCGTTTAGCAAACAACAACGCGTTTTACAAAGTCTCCGACGGCAACATCACAGTAGCAAATCACACACAAACAATAAGCGGATAGACGGAACAGAAACACATCGTCACATAAACTAACTTGTTTGCCGCGCGTTTTACTTTCGTTCAGCACTTTGAATTAAGCAGTTATTAGTCGTTTACCATTCGAAGCGAATGTACACAATTTCTAGTCGTCTCTCACAACCAACGGGCAACATTTTTGTGTTTGTTCGAGTGTTTTTTCATTAAAAGTTCTCATTGATTTGTGGAGTTTGTTATTCCAATAAAAAATTGTGGGATTTGGTGCTAAAAGCCAATTAAATTTTTACACACTTTGTTGATTCCAGCAACAAAAGCGGCAAATCGGAATTTAATTGAATGTATCTAATACTCTGGACAAATATTCAACTAACCGGAACATATACACACAGTTATTATATGTGCAGATAAATTGATCTTTCGATAAAAAAAATAATACAATTTACGACGTTTGCACGGTTTAGTAAATCGTGTGTGAGCGGCACAGAAGTTGTTAGCCTTCAAAATAAAGAAACCGTTTGAAAAGAAAAACGTCACGTAGTCGATTGCAGTTTGGAGCGAGAAGTAAAAGTGTTGGTTAGCGGCTAAAGTTGTGAATAAAATCGAATAAAAACAAAACAAATCGAAACCAAAACCGGTCACGTTCTGTGAGTGAAACGAACACATATCGAGTGACAAAAATCGATGAATATGAATAGATGCACAATGAATACAGTCAACGTCGTAAACATTTTTATCATCGGGTTTTCACTGTTTGCAACATGCTGGGCCAATAACAACTTACAAACCAAATACAAATGGAATTTGATCGATTTCAAGTATGAAAAGGCAGAAGAGCGACAAGCCGCCATTGAAAACCGTACATTCATTCCGGCCAATGTGATTCCAGTGGGCTTAGATGTTTATACTGAAAAGAATAAACTATTTTTGTCATTGCCTCGCCTCAAAAATGGTGTACCAGCATCGCTTGCCTACATCGATCTACAGGGTAAGTCGGTGACATAAATGTATTTGATATAGGAAACTATAAATGAAACCACCGTGCTGATTAGTTTAATTAAACGCTAGTTTAATTGTTCCGTATATTTATTTTCTTTTCTGTTTTTCTGCACTGTTGTTCTCCACATCTTGGTCGGTTATCGAAACGTAATTAACATTCAATTAAGTAATATTCTTTCAACGCCTTGAGATAAGCCGCTTTTCCGATTGGTCATTGTAATGAAATTGCGCAGCATTCATGCGGCACAAACACACCAACTGCAGCATGGATTTAGATTGTTGTTGGTTGTTCAAGAGGTTTTTCGACATTTTGAACTCATTAAATGCGCTCGTTTGTCACCCATAAGAAATACACCAATTACAACCATGTCATTAAGGTCGACGGAATTTTGTACGTCTTTTTCATTTTTAATAGTCAAGATTCACGGTACTAAAAAAAGAAACCGAACTATAAAAGCAAAGCGCCAAAATTAATAAATGAATTCGAGCCACGACAATGGTCAAGGTCAGTTTTGCAATATTCAAATCGAAATCACAATCAAAATTGACAGTTGAAACGAAACCAAACAACGACGCAGATTTTGGGCGTATGTTTGTACACCACGCGAAAAAGTTCCAGTGTGAGTCATCAGTGTGAGAATATTGCGTCAACGTTAAATGATTATAAACCGAAAAATCGTACCGTGGAGAAGTGCAAATTATACATTCGGATGGTTCAGCAGAAAGAGAAAAAAATAAACCATGGAAAAGAACATAGCTAGGCCGTTAGATAATTTTGCCGATATTTAGGCGTTTTTCTTTTGCAACAAAGACAAAAACGAGAATTTGTACCATCACCGCGAGATAGAGTGTTAGGCTCGAGGAATCTATTTTTACACATTATTTGATCAAATTTGTAAGATTATGAATGACCAGTTTCCATGCAAACTGCGATAATCAAAGCATTATCCTTTATTTTTATTAAATCACGCACACGTTGCAGAGGTCACTTAATGATAAATAAATTATGCCTCGTTAATATGTGTCTATCGCATGCAAATAGTTCCCTTTTTTTTTCTTTAGTGAAGAAGGAAAAAATTCGGAAAATAATTTCTTCATCATAATGAAAATGCTTGACAAAAACAAAACACTCGCACATATGTCTTTAGATAACGAGATACTTTCGATGATGACTCTACGGAACGAAATGTTTTGGGGTTTTTACCACGAACGGCACGAATTAATTGGTGATAATCTTTCTTTCAGTTTGCCGAGGTCACGATAAACAATGACGCGCAACCCCAATCGAAAGAAAAATGAAATTCATTTTTTAGGTCTTTTTCGTGTGATAATAAACAATGACTTCAAGTTTTGTTTTCCTTTGCTCGACATGAATTACATAATAAACATCGTGAGGTTATGGCGTCTACACACACACAGAAAAGTAGAACGATAGTCCCATTGACTTGCTGATATATATTATACCGACAAATTTATTGATTCACCGTCTCGGAATGGAAAGTAAAACGAAAAAGTGACACAGTTTACTTGACGTACGTTTAAATGGTCACTGTTTGGGCGCGACATGAATGGTCTTGATACTTCAAATAAACATATCTGTGTCCTTTTGCTTTATTAACATTCTGTTTTTTTTCTCTCCATATTCTGGTCACCGCACCCACTGCATACGTTTTTGCGATTTAGGAATATTTTTGCATTTTCTATTTATGTTATAATGATGGTTTTTTGCAGCATTTTTTTTCTCTTTCTTCAAGTATTTTATTTAAATTTTTTTCTTTCGTTTGTAGAATTGTCGGATAACGATTCACCCGCACTGAAACCATATCCAAGTTGGCAATCTCATCAAACAGTGAATCCGACTGATGTGCCAGACATTGTGTCACCGTTTCACATTAAGGTCGATCGTTGCCATCGTCTTTGGGCAGTTGATACCGGTATCGAGGGCTTGTTGAATGGCAATAATTCGAAACGTTTGGCTCCATCACGTATCTTAATCTTCGATCTTCGTACCGATGATATTATTCGCAAGTACGCATTGCCAGTGGATTTGAACAAGTCCGTGTTTTCCAACATTGCGATTGATGACGACGATTGTGAGGATACATTCGCGTATGTTGCCGATGCAGGAACACCACCAAGCCTAACCGTGTATTCGTACAAAACGAACGATGCATGGCAAGTGAAACACAACTACTTCAACATTGAACCAACGGCCGGCGAATTCTCCGTGCTCGGCGTCAAGTTCAGAACGAGCGATGCATTGTACGGATTAGCTTTGACCGAGAAAAAGGATAATGGTTACCCCAATTTGTATTTTCATGCTTTAACTTCCTACAATGAATTCAACGTTTCCACCGCCATTTTGCGAAACAAAACCGCCACCGAAGTTCCAGATTTTTACAGTCAATTCAACGTTGTTGGACTACGTAACGCGGACGAACAAGCCGGTTCAACGGTTTATGGAAAGTCACAAAAAGTTTTGTTCTACACTTTGCCGAACAAGAACGAAATCGCATGCTGGAAGACAAGCAAGAATTACACCATTTCCAAAGTGTACAATAGTCCCGTCGATATGGTCTATCCAATTGCTATTAATATCGATAACAAGCAACGAATTTGGGTTTTGTCCAACAACATGCAACAATTCCTTAATGGGCAATTAGACGCTCATAACACCAACTTCTATGTTCATTCGGTTCCGATATCCGAAGCAATTAAGAATACACCCTGCGAGTCCGATTTGATCGAAAAAATTGTCAACAAATTCAATCGCGGCGGTTCCGATACATCAAAACCAATCGCATTCTTAACATTCATTGCATCGGCTATGCTAGCCATTAAACAGCTATTTTAAGTCAATTACATCCTTACAACAGTATATTCATCCATGCACTCGATGTTAAGTAACAAAAACCATACACTCACACAACCCAAAAAATTATGAGCATTCAAATGACCATTTTTAGATTAAATTACAAAATAATTGTGTGCTTATAGGAATTAAGCACATTTTGAGTCACCAAACGTAATATACATCATTTAATATATTTTATTATTGCTAGAAAGATGTTCACAAACAGCGCAATAAAAAACCTATATAATTTCCAGTCGGTTGAATGGTTCTGCTGTGCAATCCAAATTAGCTTCGTCGTCACAATGTTCATTTTTTTCTACGAACAATTCACTAAGACCAATTCCGTAACAGCAACAACACCACCACAATAATCTATATGTACTCACAAATATTTGCGATCTAGTGTTTTTGATAGCTAGTACATGTGTTTAGAGGAATATGTATACAGGCACACCGCTTAGTAATGATTGTAGGTGACATTTAGCTTATTCAAAGCCATTCCGCAACCCTCTTTTCAGTCTTATAGAAAATAAAAGTCAAGTGATGTAAACGAACTTGTAATTATTTTATGGTTTTATTCAGACGCAATTGAATTGTTGACCGGGCAGTCAATGTGGCGTTCAAGTCTTGATATTATACATTTAATGAATGGGTTTCTTTCTATTGAACGAAAAAGAATTTGCACTTATATCTATGTATCATTTGTTTGAATTCCATCTATAGTTCCATGCCCCTTCTCTCTGTGCAGTATGATTTTACGTATAAACACAGAACGACAAATAAAATTGCGGACCAACGTGAAACAAAATATTTGTTTGGTAATTTGTCACATTTCAACGTTACGTTATACGGAAGCACCACAGACGGCCTTGACGACCTATCTTGAAACAATAATTTTTCTCCTTTTGGCGCACATCATAAACTCGATTTGCATCGTTTGAGACAAAGTGAAGTCATACATTTATTCACTCATCTTATCTTTAGGCACACGATTAGCAAGAATGACGCATTATTTGATTTGCTTATTTTGTTTGATTTACTGATTTAATTTCAAAATTTCATCAGATGTCGATGTCTAGTCTCGAAGAATATGTGTGGCAGGGGGTATCAAATGTTTAGCATCACAAGTAATCAACTCTCTAGTTGATTTAAGATAAGAATTTTATAACGGTGACAGATGAATATTTGCTAGAATTCTACGCTGTATTTAATTGGATGGATTTGTAGCCATGCATTAGTTGCGAATAAACCGTTACCATAACATGCAAAATTGTCTTGTTTTTTCGATCGTTTGGATAAGAAATATTCTAGCAGAGTGTACACGTATTGAAGATGGTTCAAGCTATTGTTGTCGCTGATACTAACTACGATGAAAAATCGAATGATGGAAGAGGCACGGATCAATCGAAGCATTCATCCCGCAGTTACACACTTGAAGAAGCGCTTCAAGAAACCAGTAAATATTCATCCTCTGTCAGAGGACCTCTGACGAATAGAATGAGTCTTTACTATAGTTTCTTTTCTTCATAATTAGGAATTGGAAAATGTCAATATATATTGACTTTTTTGACTGGTATAAGTGTGCTGGGCTCAACGATTGAAAACACAAACATTAGCTATATTTTGCCATATGCTAAGTGTGATTTGAATCTGAGCACCGAAGAACAAGGACTCTTGAGTGGAATTTCATATTTGGGCATTGTGTTCACGTCGCATGCATGGGGCTTTCTTGCAGGTTGCGTATCTTACGTCATATAAGTCGAGGGCGTTCAAAGTGTTTTTGATTGTATTTCCATACCAAAACTTCTATTTTCAGACACATGGGGGCGACAAAAAGTGTTGCATGCCTCAGCCGTTGGTGCTTTCATATGTTCATTTTTATCGGCTTTTGCCATGGACACCATCACATTGATTGTTCTTCGTTTCTTGGCTGGTGCATTGTAAGTTGGAATGGATCTTAGATTTTTGTGTGAATCAAAAGATGATGAGCTAATGAACGTAATTGAATGAGTTTAGTGCTGCAGGAGCATCTTCTGGTGGATATTCATATATAAGTGAGTTTCACACTGTCGCAACGGCTGCGCGATCTGCAGCATTTGTAAGCATTGCATTGTCTGCTTTTTGGGTTTTTATGTCACCATTGGCCATAGCCATCGTTCCAATGGACTGGAGTTTTTACATTTTCACATTGGAATACAAGCCATGGCGATTCTTTTTGACTTGCACAACAATTATTAACCTAATTAGTGCCATTGTGTTTACATTCATGCCCGAGACACCCAAATTTTTGGCTGCCGTGGGTCGCAAAGAAGAAGCTGTGAAAGTATTAAGTCGCATGTATGCCATAAACACAGGAGAGCCCAAGGAGGTAAAAATATCTTTTCAGTGAGATATCTCTTTCTTTCAGGACATTTTTTTTTCTGGAAATTCAAGAAAAATGAGCTTTGCAAACCAATTATGGCTTACATCTTTGATGAAAAAGTCGATTATATTTTCTAAAAAAATGGTTTGGAAAAAAATTCTATTCCAGAAATATCCAGTGAAAAGCATCGAAAATGTAACAATTGGAAATAATTTATCCGATGCGAAGGGAATTTGTGACTTCCTCAGTTTAGTGATAGAGCAAACAAAACCAGTTCTTCAAAAGCCATTGTTCACAAACACATGGAAATTGTGCTACATTATCCTTGTAATGTTCTCGATCGGACACGGCACTTTCATGTGGTAACTACTATTACAACTACAACTGTTGTTGCTAGCAACACTTCAAAATTGAACATAATTTTCGTTTTCTAAATTTGTTTTTGTGATTTCAAACTCAGGTTCCCAGATTTTCTAATGCAATTGCAACGATACGAAGGTATACCAAAAACGCTGTGTGAAATCGTGGGACCAAAAGCGGTTGTTTCTTCATCTGCGTATGTTTGATGCGTATATAGAATTCCTACCCGATTCGATAATAATACGAACGATAATTTCATTTCAGGTGTAATATCGATAAAACCAATATCTTGCCATTCCAACTCTTATTTGTCGTCGGCATATGTTTCCTATCATTTTCAGCTGTTTCAAGCTTCTACTTGAAAAAGATCCAGCCCAAGATATTGGTTTGTCAGTACAGCAGCGAAAAATCCTATCAAATGATTATCGATTTTATATCAATCCGTGAATGTTTCTATTTATTCTAGGTGCTTGGTTGCTCATGTCAATGACAGCTTGTGCCTTGTTGATTCTTCTAACGGATTTTTACGCAATTGTAATTAGTTTTATACTATTTTTGAGCTGTAACGTATGTTCAAACATAATTATTGCAACCGCCGTGAATCTATTCCCTACGAATTATCGTGGTATGGCTACTGCATTTATCATGATTTTTGGACGTATTGGCGGTGTTGGTGGAAGTAGCGTCGTTGGGCTGCTACTAAATAATAACTGCATCCTTATCTTCTATTTATTCAGTGGCATGCTCATAAGTTAGTATTGAATCAAGCTAGACATTTGAATTTCTTGGACTTTTCTCGTGTTGCATTCATGTATTTTGTTCTCATTTCAGGTTGTGCTTTTGTTTTCATGATGATTAAAATTAAGGCACAGTAGATCGTATACATAAGGAATCCCATCAGAATAGAAAAATTATTTGATTCTAGCAGTTGTAAAAATTTTTTTTGTCGATCGAGAATGAACAATATCTTTATTTTCATGTTTTTAGACAGTCTTAGGAAATTGACTACTATGATTAAAATTTTTAAATTTGAACGTAATAAAATGTTACCATTCTCAGTGGTAGCTTTATAGGATTCTATAAACCAAAAAAATTGAAAATGCATCATTGTTTAACATTTTTGCGAAAATAAACAAATTTCGATTAAAAAGTGTTATTATGGCTGGATTTAATCTGATCTAATCTAATATTTTATTATGTAGGGGACTTTGCTGCAGGTTGGATAGTGCTTTTTGTTTATTGAGTCTTACTTCGTGCATTTTTAATGCAATGTCACGCGCCCTGAAAACCAGCAGAACTATGACACGTGTGCAGGAAATATTATTTAATTATATTGTAGAAGCACATCAAAATGGCTCAATACCTTTTTCGATTAGCATCAAATTCAGAAGTCAGAATTTCAAGTAATCATGGGCGCATTCAACATTCCCCAAAATGGATACAACGAAACTGGTAGCGTACATGATGCCACAAATTCGAAGCGCATCAATTATCGAACAATTTATTGGGAATAGAGAATAATATTTTCTCGAATTCATTATTAAAATTTTGATCTAGAAAAATATGTAGCTGTTTTAGCGATTTTGTAGAAGTTTAGTAGAATTCTTATGCTTGCAGAAAAAACGGTCGGTAACAAAAACAGAAATCCAAAATTCGTAGACTTTTTTATGACAATTTCTGTACGTGGTTTCGTCTTACTGATTCTTGCTTATATAGCACGTTGAAATTAAATAAGCGGTTTGAAATTTTAAAAGAGAGTTTTCAATAGGTAACATAGAGATTGCTGCGTTTACGCTAGACTCAAGTACACAAAGATGTAAGGGGCTTCTAAGAAATCCAATTTTGGACAACATTTTCCAACTGGTGTTATTATTATTATCGAATTGTATGCCTGTATGCTGGAATAATGCTGTCCAATTTCAGTAAGTCAAAGAGAAGGTGTAATGAATGTAATTTTATTCAGAAGCAATTTGGGTGCGTAGGTGAAAACAAACATTTTTATTCAATTTATAGACATCAAATCGTACATGTTTAATGACAGAAAATGCTTTCTGAATAAAATATTCGAAATATTTCTGATTATTTTCAACTTCTATACTTCCATTAACACTAAAGTCAGAGGTTAGAATGTCAAGTAATCAAGAACGTATTTGATACGACGACACTTTACACTGATGACTTCCATTATGAACACAACGAAGCTAATGGCATACATGGTGCTACAAATGTGAAGAACGGCCACTACATGATCGATTTGAAGTTTTGTTCGTGTCCCCTGATTCGAATTAGGCCTTCGATTATCGACGTATTTTTTAGTCCAGAAATTTATTAAACCGGCCTCTCGAATTTCCAGAATTTCTTCATTGAATATGTTGTGCATGATGGATTGCTTATGGAAATACACCACAGGAGTGTAAATGAATAACGAATCTTTTGTAAAAGTCAAACGTTTTCGTGGTGAATTTAACAAATTAAAATATTTGCAAGCCAAATCAGCCACAAGAACAACACCATTAATCTCGTCATTATGATCATAGTAATAATTCAAAGCAGCCGTTTGCTCTGTATTAATTACTACTATCCTGTGAACATTGAAAATCCGATTAGATTGTGTAATTAGTCCTGACTTATGAAAAAAAATACCGTTCTGATGCGATTAGGCTTTGCATCAATGGAACAGCTGAAGCAACACTGACAATTTTGCAGTCGGACGATTGAACCTTTTCAACGGTATCAAAACCAGACACAGGATAATTACTTTGTAGTTTATTGAACAAAGCCGCCTCGTAACAGCTTCGAATTACGAACCACAAAAGTATCCGAAAAATGGCTAGAGTGCGTGAAAAATTGCTAAAATTCAGACCATTGGCAATCCGCGGATTGGCGATAGATTTGCCCAGTATCAAAAGCCACATGTTCAGTATTGGTGATCGGTTCATTCGACCGCCAATATAAAAATGACGCCATTTCCGTGGTAAACTTTTCGATAACAAAATTAGAACAGTCATAACCGATGCGAAGATACATATTATGATCCACATATGAGTTCGAAACGGGGCCGCAAAAGTAGACATTATCATGAAGAAATCTTCCCTTCTAAATGCAAAACCAAATGATGTCTGCATAATTGGGTGGCTAGGCTTTAAAAATGCCAGTCGATCCTTGGTGAGTATAAGACCACCAATTGTCAAATTCACCTCACGATCCATGACCTAAATGAATTGATAGAATGTTGATTAAAATAATGTTATATCCACATCCAAAAATTGCGAATCATTTCCATGCTGACCAATTTTAAGTTCAAAGTTGCAGTCCCGTTGGGATAGAGTATTCCACTATTTGATCCACTCGAAATGCCTTTATGAACTATCGTGAAATTGTAAACCTTTGCAATGTGTTCAACCAGTAAAATATCAATGCCTTCTATTCGGATATCTTCACCAGAGTTATTGTGGACAATAACAAACGGTTTAGTATGAGCCGCTGCGATGTATACAGGGCATTTGTTAAAGTTACGCCATTTTTGTGGAAATAACTCGTTGATCGATGAGCTCATATTTCGGGTGAAGTTGTGAGGTGTGAATGTTGTAATTTGCAAACGAGACATCGTGGAGCAGTCATGTTGGAAAGGCAAAAATGTATTGAGCGACCAATGTTTATCTTGGATTAAAATATTCGAATTGAGTAAACCATTATTCCATAGAACTGCGGAGATCGTGTTTAAGCTTTCCGTAGCATTATGCACATCTTCAGTGGCGACCAGTAAAAATCTTTGGGCCAAATGGAAGTCTTTCACGGAAAATTCATTCAAAATATTTCTAAAGAAAAATAGACAAAAATAATTGATCATTACAATTTAGAAATAACCACTTTAATAACTTACTGTAAACGTTCGCAATCATCGACTATTATTAAATGGAATGACTGTCTGTAGTCACGAATCGAGTTATTCATAGTATTAAAAGTATGCCTTGTTCGGAAAAGACGGTTGAATGAGCTGAGAAAAAAATCGTCCACAAATTTCTTGTTCGTTTCCGACGGCGAATGAACGATAGAAATTGAAGTATCATCATCGCTTGTATACTGAATCAGATAGTTGGCGATAATCTGGCTGAGAATGGCATTTTTGGAATCAGCAAATCGGTTCGTTTCAGAATCAATTTGAAAAGGTAATATAATGCCGAAAAAGATCGGAGAAAGGGTTAGTAACAAATGCAGATCCATTCTGTTTCCACTCGATTCGAATTTTCAGAAATTAATTCTTTGGAAATATTTGTATTTTTAGAATGTTCACTTCCTGGTGCTCACTCGACTACTGAAATATTTTCATTCGATTCACTAATATATCAATTACCATTGAAACTTACTTCGTGCATTTTTAATGCAATGTCACGCCCTGGAAATATGTCCATATATGTTATTGAATTACATTGTGGACACACATTAAAATCGCTCAACATCTTCTTCGATTAGATTCATTGCGATCGAACAACGTTGGAATAATATCGTTAACAAATATGCTCCCTTGAAACTTTCTGTGTGTGGTTTCGTCGTACTGATTCTTGCCCTTATACACTGCAGTGTCAAAGTTTGGGCCCACCTATAAAATCCATTATTTTCATATTTTCTTGTCTTGTTCAGCTCAAATTGAATACTGAATTTGAATGTCCGCCGGAATTCTGTCCTGATAAATTACTAAATTTGACTATACTAAAAAAAATGAATCTTGAAGGAAATTGGATAAACCATCATGGCTTAATTAAGGCACATATGTTATTTCGACGGCACATTTTGCGCACAGGTTTTTCAGCTCTGTTACGACGTAATATTTTCGAGTTGAAATTTTTTGACTATGCATACTATATTTTGGATTGGAATGCTGATTTATTTTAATGGTGGTTTTGATTGTGATTTCAAACCACAGATTTGGTTTTAAAATGGGATTCACCCGATGAGAAATGTGAATTTCGATGTGGCCAACGATGATAACACCAACTGAGAGTACTAATACTGTATTAGAATAAAATAATTTAAGCTTCTGAAAACAGAATGAAATCCAATGTTCAAAATTTGAACTTCAAATAAATCAACATACAAAGCTCGTGAAGCAAGCAAATCGCTGCCCACTGTCCATTCTTGTTTTTATATTTACACTGTGATATATATTATACATATATGCATTAAAAACAGTTTTAACTTCAATGAAAAACTCTCCAATGTATACGTATAATTATAGCTCAAAATCTTTAAATATTCAAAATAACTTTTTTAGTCCGTTCAAAAGACACAATTGTTGTTTAATCAAAGCCAGTTTCTATAGTTTCTCCATTTATAAATGATAAATTTAGATTTCATCATATAATGCAGGATATGGCGGTGAACCAGTCAAAAGTGATTGCGCTCTTTTTGTGTAAAGTTTGTTCAAAGCTAATATTTCTGGATCTTGAGGATATCTTCCATTTAATAGTAAAGGTTGTCCGCTCCAATTGATGAGCTCACCGTTTTTGTTGAACTAAGAAAAATGAAGAAATCAACCAAATCAAAAATGGGATAAAAATATTTAATTAGAAAAAACATGTGAATAAAAAAAACATTTAAACTGACCGTCACGTTTAAAACGCCCAAGTATTTGGTCCATTTGTATGCTTGCACAACTGGCACTTGTTTTCCGCTATCTTGAGTTATTACCGTTGGATAAGGACCTTCAATTACCTCGAAATCAGGCTGAGGGCCATTCCATAAAAATGCGTTCGTGTGGCCACCGACGACCAGATCAACAAGTGGACAGTTTTTGGCAACTATTTTATCAACAGTGAAACCAGAGTGTCCAAGCGCAATGATTATTTTCACGCCATTCTTTGTCAATTTCTTCGCTTCTTGGCTGAAAAAATGGTTTTTGACAAATGTGCCATCAGACGTTGCGTTCGTGAACTTGTGATTTCATGGCGGAATTATTACTTTGAGCAAAACCACTTACTTGATGGCGTCAACTTCATAACTAAAATCAACATCGGGTAAATAAACTCGATTCTTGGTTTGATTCCTCAGATAACCAATGACTCCAATTTCGAAGCCAGTCACATTAAGTACAATGGATTTCATTAGGCCACCGATTTTTTCCAACGGATGATCTTTGGAATTATTTAGATTTGCCATTACAACTGGAAATTTGAGCTTTCTCAAATGTGCCACTAATCCGGCCGTACCCAAATCAAATTCATGATTACCTAAACACTGACGATTTTTTCGCTTGAGATTCAAGTTTTTGACTTTCCCTCCTGATTCAATACAATTTCTACTCACCATTACGTCCGGTTTTAAAATATTCAAATAATCCGCGCATATTTGGTCTCTGAATAAAGCCCACCAGAATGTACCGTTGTACGTGTCGCCTGCATTCAGATACAACACTGGCGGACCACCATTTTTAGCCTTGTTTCGATATTCCTTTATCACATAAGAAACGCGTGCCATTCCACCATAGCATTGGTTTTCTTCTGCATTCGATGTACTGCAATTTCTACCCGTTTGGTTTGTCTGCTCGAAGCGAGAATGCATGTCATTGTTGTGCAAAATTTGTAGTTCCAGATTACGTTTTTTTGCCGCCACAATCAGCACTAATAACCCGATGGTCGATAATAAAAATGGAATTTCTGCTTTCATTTCGGCGGAATGGATGAATTGAATGATTCTGGTGACAGAATTTTACACACTGTAAATTTGACCCGAACAAAAATTGTAAAAATGAATTAAAGTTTTCAATGAGGTAATGCAGTGGTTTTACCGTAATTCAAATGAAGTTCAACGGTTTCCACTCTGTGCTTTTATGAAAATTTTGTTATTACAGGTAATGGAATATTTTCTAATTTATCTAAGCACGATGAAAAATTATGACTTTTTTGTTATCACAGCATTTTTCTAGTGGGAAAGAAATGAATAAATGCGAATGTAAATTAGAAAGTTTCCATAAATCAAGTCAACAAAAATTGTTTAAAACTCATAGCGCTGTTTGAATAGCTATTTACGTTATTGTTGTCAATTCAAGCTGTTGTCAGTGGCATTCGTTTTATGATGGCTTTATCAAGAACGTTGGAGTGAATGTCAACAAAAGTTACGATGATAAAAAATGCCACTTTATGTGCAAATATTCATTAAGTAAAATTATAAATCAATTCATATGTGTGAAATAAATCGCACGTTTTATTTTATAAATGGAACCACACCATAGCAGCAGAACTGTTGGAAACTTAGTTTCAGAATAATAGTTCATTGAAGGTGGTTTGTAAATTGGCAGAACAAATCTGTGGAACCAATCAGTTCATTTGTACAATGAAATACACTACAGTCACATTGACCTTAGATGTTAACATATTACGTTTTTGTGTTAAATACAATAACCGTTACGCATTTTTGCTAACCAGGTATGTTCATAGGGTGTTTTTTTGGTAAGTAATCCAAAGTAGTACATAAAGCTTGAGAGCACTGAATAAAATCCATTCTTGTTGGCACTTAATTTAATCAAAAATCCTCTCGCAAAAGTGAATCAATAATTATTATAGATTGTCTTTTGGAAAATGGAATTTACAGACAAGATATCGTTTGTAACTCGATGGTGATAACGATAGCGCTTTGTTTCGATCCATTCTACAAGAGATGGCGTAAGAGTGATCATTTTCTATGTTCGATGAGTGTTTTTTTTGCTTGGAAAATGATATATTCATCATGTTTCATTCGGCAACAAATTCAGACGCATATAAATTTCATTTGAAAATATGAAATATTCTCACCCAACGTCGCTCTCTCAAAGCATTCTCATCCAAATGCCAATTGTATTTGCATAGATTCACAGGTGCGAAAAGATTGTCGTCAAAACATTGAATGGTCGTTCAATTTTCAACGAGCGTTTTCGCATGTATGTATTTTCTTTTCTCGGTGAGTATGAGACAAAAGGCGAGAGCGAACACTTTTTTCTCGAGGAATGAATAGAAAATGTAAAGCATTCCTGGCCGAATATGGGTTGGCAGAAAAACAAATATTTATTTTTTACTCATATTTAAATTTGTATTTTACAGCACACACACACACACACATTCGGCCGGACTATTCGTGTCCACGTCCATCCATACGATGCGACGTGAAGGTGTTAGTCGAACGAGTGAAAAAAAGAGCCTCAACTCGCATTGAAAACACTTTACGGAATTTTCATACGTAGAGAAAAAAAATCATTTCTCGCGGTCCGCTAGCGCCTGTGGTTTCGGAGTCATTTCGGATTCGTTTTTTTTTTGCTCCGTTCGGTTCATTGTCGGAGTCTCGGAGTTATGGTGTTGCAGGAATATTTATTTATAAAACACATTTTTATATCGTCATTGTTTTTTTTGTCGTAATTTTCGTTGCTCATGTCGCTGGTTTTCTTCTTCTCGCTTAAACTGTGTGAAATTTCGTGTGCTGACATATGTACGCCAATGAGGTTCACACCGAGATCGGCGTTTCAGCTAAATTGGAACAGTTTTTCGTGCTGTCCTTTTCAAATTCACTGAATTTCCTTCGTATGATGAAATTTGAACATAATTTTCCATACAGCCGCGTATCAAACTTGAGACGATCTAGGGGGTAGACACGATTAGTAAATTAGAATCTAATACAGTAAATTAGAGAATATTAGAAAATATTAGAAACTGAAATGTTTGATGACTTTGACATGGCAATTCTTTATGAAGATTTTTGTTTTGTTTGATGAAACAAAACGGTAAACAATACCGTTATTTGTCAACAAGTCTGCAAGTATTTCAACGCATTACCACTGTGCATAGTACAGAGACGTAAAATGTTCGCCATTTAGTTTTACATTGCCAATGCATTTCCTTATGGAGATTTTTGTTTTGTTTATTTTTCGTTGTTTGTAAGCAAATCTGCCAATCATTTAGCATTGCCTCTGTATATTTCGTATGGACCATATACTAAGTACAGAGGCAATGCTAAAAGATAGGCAGATTTGTTTACAAACAACAAAAAATAAACAAAACAATAATCTCCATAAAGAAATGCATTGGCAATGTAAAACTAAATGGTGAACATTTTACGAGAATATTAGAAGATATTAGCACTTTCAATCGATTATTAGAAATATTAGAGAAAACTAAATAAAACTTGGGATATATTTCCAAAAATTAGACAGATTAGTGATATTAGACCAATATTAGAATCCGTGTCTACCCCCTAGGAGACGATACTATTTTTTCGATGCGTCAACTGTGAAGGGTTGTCGTTGTTTTTGAATCGAGATCAATACAATACAATGATCACATCAACCCGGAACATTATGTTCCGAGGATGATAAAATCGGCGCGATGTGCCTTCTTTTTCGTAGTACGATATTGCATTCATGCTTTGCACATTTGAATTCGCAATGTTGATTAATGATTTTGAGAGGAGCGCAAGAGAGAGAGAGAGTTTCAACGTAATTGAATCATTAGAGAAATAAGTTCATAACAAAAATTCGTTTTGGGCTTCGGGTAGAGAAAATAAGCGAGAGAGAAAAATTCTCTCAGAGACTTAACGTAAAGACAAATTAGCGGCTACTTCCTTTACAAAATTTGCATATTTTGTTAACATTCACGGCACAGACAGTTGTTTGTTGCCAAGAACTGACCTGTTGTTGTATATGTCATTTCGAATGGGGAATTTTTTATAGGTTTTTTTTTTTCGAAGGAAGGAGTTGCATAAAATATTAAGTTGCCGGATGAATCATCTGCTTTGCTCAACTATTCGGCTGATGTTTTGCACTACAATCTAGCTCGATTGCATTCCTTTTGGAATTCTATGATTTTACATCCCAAAGCTCTGGGCTGTCCAATCGGTGTATGTGTGCGTGAGTGCGATAGACACTTGGCTTTTTTTAAATTTTTAGTATATACAAACAAAAGCACCTTGAATTTCAATCCTTATGTGAAATGAGATTGAATAAGGTTGTTTTTAATTTCGTTGACCATGGACTACTCAAAATAAAATGATTTGTCGAACTTATGCGTCGTCGTCGTTGTCTCTATCAATATGAATTTTTTTTCATTTCATTTAAATGTTGCTTGAGGTATTGAAATAATTCACATTTCAATATACGCGAAGCCATTGTCTAATGCATTGATTGAGGCTCGAGAGAAGCCGATGAGAAAGAAGCCGATTCGCTTTGCCCCCGAATCGTCATCTAAAATGATGACATTTGGGCTGTGGTATTGCGATATAGTAAACAGTGTGATATTTTTAGGCCGGTTGGAAATGTAATCGAATGATTTTGATATGCTAAATGTTGGGCTATTAAAAGAAATGCTATTGAATGATATTATGATTCGGAAAATTCAATTTGCAAACCGACTTAAGGCCATTAGCCGAATACTGCATGAGAACATTCAGAGTTTAATACTCAATGAGTGCAGTACAATTTCCTGATTTTCAATTAGCAACTGGTTAATAAATGTTTTTATAATTGTTGTTCGGTTTCGTACATTTAATGCTTCGCTTTGCGAAAGGAACCCGTTTAAAGTGCCGACTGAATGGTTTGCTCTTTTTTTTTTGCTTAGCCTACTAGTTTATCGTCATTCGCCGTTTCTCTCTTTCTTTTTCTTGTTGTTGTTTTCTTTCAAGTTTCTAAATTTAAAGAATGAAAACTAGACACAAGTTGAGCTGCGTTACATGTTGCCTTAGCGTAAAGGAGGACATACGATTTGCCGTAGTATTTCATTTGTAAGGCGGCCATATATCATGAAACTTTCTGAAATGCACAAAACTTTAACCAAAAAATTCTTGACCGCTTTTTAGTGTGAAATGGTCATTCAGTTGACGACAATTGGGTTTGTTCGCCGCAAATATGACCGACATAAATACCGCCCCATTGTCTATTTTGAGCGTTAAACGTAAAAAAAACTTAACTAAACAATGTTTAAACAACAAAGAAGCAGAACCGAAATGAAGTTAAAACAGTTTCATAACGATTCCAGAAGGAAACGTACCGAAATAAAACCTTGTTGAGAATAGATAACGTTCGTACGTGAATCTAAGGCGAATAAGGAATACAAAAACAAAACAAGAATCTAATGTTGAACAATCTACGTATATATTATTATAGAAGAAATGGTCGAATCGTGACAGCGATATCATCACACGGTGTTTGCTCGATTTCAAGCCGAGCAAACGGAGAGAGACAGACAGAGAGAGAGAGAGAGAGAGATGGTGCAATGCATAGGCGGATAGGCGGTATTCGCTCCGCTTTATTTTTAGCAAGCGATCATTTTCCTTCTCAAACATATCTTTATGCTGAACAAAAGCAAATCAACTCTAAAATTAACGATAAAAAAAAGTCTCTCTATCGCCCAAACATCTATTTCTTTTTTCGCTTGATTTTCCAAAGAAATTTTTCGAACATTCCAATTTTTATTTCATTCAAATTTCAACATGAAAAATTATGATCAAATACACACGTGTATATTCACACATTTAGTGAGTTGAATGTGTGTTGCATTCTTGATTGTCGCAGTATTACCGAATCGCCGATATGCACAATAAGTATGCGACAGTGTATGTATGAATCCTACAAAAGACTTGTCTTTTGCTCTTTATTTTCGTTTTTTCATTGTTTTTGCCTGCTGTCGGACGGGAAAAATATTCGCTTTGAAAAATAGTCGTCACATAGCTGTTCATTCTCGTTCAAAAATCGAAATCAATTAGAGAATATGTCCGAATACGCAACCGATTCATATGTAAAGAATCCGATTCGCAAGGTAGCATATAGACGAAGAAACGTTATTTGTAGGAAAACTATTCGTAGATGCTTCTTCGACAAATGAACAGAATAGAAAGAAAGCAAAGCAAAAAAAAACACAGAGGAAAAAAAGCGAATGAAATGTGGGTGAACGATGTGAACCGATTTTGAATTTACTGAATGTGTCGAAAATAGCAGCACATATTGAAAGAAGATCACGCAAGGAAAACAACAAGTCGAAGCAGCGAATAAAAAAGGCAGATCGAACCGAAGCGAAGTGAAATCACAACGAGAGCATTATGTGTGACTGATCTCATAGGCATGCTTCAAAGTGTACACGCTCGAAACTGAAAATGTTCAAGTTTTTATTTGTCTTCAGTTCTTTTGTTACATGTGTTGTTGCTGTTCGAATGCTATGCTATTCAAACATCGACGACGACAACGATCAAATAGTTGAAAAACTTAATTTTTTTTCTTCGATTTGGCTTTAATGTCTGTCTCCTACTTTCTTCGATCGAGCTTATTGTTGTTGCTGATTCCTTTTTTGCTGCTGCTGCTTCTTCTTCTGTTCGCTTCATGCGATCCGTGCGCGCAACATCTACGTGGATGCTTTCCTTGTTAAATGTATCAAACAAAATTTAATTTAATGCAAACAAACGTGCCAAATTTTATGGTTACGCAATTGTTGCGCGTAAGACCTTAGCAAATCAAATTTGAATCGAGATATCATTGCTAATAAAAACGTTTAGTCGATGGCAACGACAACGGTAACAGCGGTGATGATGATCGTCGTCGTCGTTTTTGTTTCGTGGCGAAGCGCCTGGCACTTTCTTGGATTGCATTTGAAATGGGTAATGCCAAAAATGCACATTCTCTATTCGACCGATGATGATCATTAACGTTATGGCAACGTTCATTAAAATCGTTCAAAAATCCTGTCATTTATTCTAAAATCACATTGATTGAAAGAGCGGGAGAGCCCGAGTTACATCTACATTTCGTTGAAATGCAACGCCGTTGAATGTGCACATCCATTGATTTATTCGATCGTGTCAGGCCCCATTAGAGTGTGGCACCACGACATACAAAGTAGCCAAAATCATCTGACGCATGGCACCGCTGTATCGGTCTGCATTCATATATTAATATGAGAATGGTTTTTAATTATATCGATCGGTTTACATGAATTCTTGTTTATATCCCAACTGCTGCATGCCATTTTTACTCATTTGCTCAAAACAAAATATATCGCCAGACATGCAAACAAGTCACCGACCGCGAGAAACCGCTCAAAACACACGGTCGAAATTCAAATCACCAGATTAAAAACGATTTTCAGCAGATAAATACGAATCCCGTGCAGAAAATCCCGGCGTTTATTTTGTAATGCATTCAAACGGGATGGAAACGTTTTTTTGACTAATTTTGGCAGGAAAAACATATTTTTCAAATGCATACCATTCCGAACGGGACATTTATTTGTTGCACCTTCGACTTTTTTTCACTTCTTTGGCATTTAAATTTAGACCATTTAATTTCGGCAAAAAAAATCAATTCATTCTCTTGACGATTTTGTTGTTTTCATTTTCGATATGCTTCATTTGTGACAGCTTGTTTTGCATTCGCATGCCCAATGTGTGAGTGTGTGTATGTAGTGGTGTGTAACATACCTCCGTTATTCTGTCACTTTGGCCTGAAGACTCTCCATCCTATTTATACTTGTTTTTCAATTTAAAATGACCTATTTGCTCTTGAGTTGGTCATTTGTTATGTATTTTTAGCTGATAAAAAACATTCGATTTTACGCAAAAAATCGGTCTTACTTATTTGCAAGCTCCAAAAGGTCGAAAAAACAAATCGAACAATCCAAAATTGTTTGTCAAATTGCGATTGAATGACAAATGACAAATCCTTTGTTTTTCAAAATGCATTTTTGGCTATTTTCAATTTGCAAAATAAATTTTTAAATTTAAAGCTTGTGCTTGGTGTGGCTTCCGTACAAATACGAAAATATTTACTACAAACATCGTCGATGAGAGTTGGTCGAAACGAACAGGTATCCGATATGTATAGCATGAAGTAAAATCGAGTCTAGAATGTTCGATTGTATGCACTCAACACTCGCTCTCTTTCTCTCAGCGAATAAGCGATAAAACACCATATCCACTTGAAATATCTAGAGCTAAGCAATAAAATAACGAGATAAACGTCCATGAAATTCGATAAATTATAGAATTTATTCATATTTTCGCCAAATTTATGGAATGAGATCAAAAATACTCTCCTGCACCAATAACATGAAAAATACTCCATTTTTTGCAAGAGTTCTAAATGTGGTGTTTTTATATTTTCCCAACAAAGAAAGTCAACTATTGGGACAGGTTTTTTTTTGATGAAATTCAATTGAAATTTGTTGAAAAACTCTTAAAATTCTTCCTTGACAAATTGAAAAACACTTGAATGATGTACGATACATCACAGCACAAATACAGCGAAAGTATGACACATCACAAGCGATCGTATTTCGTCGTTCTTCTGTCAACCTCAAGTGTGTGTGCGTGTAACGGGCACATCGACGGTGGTGCGATGTGATCGTGTGCCTCAAATACAAACATATTTGCGATTAGTATTGTAGCCCAAAAGTAAATAAGCGGCTCATGATACTCTAATGTATCGCTGTTATTGATTCTATGTAATTTTCAAAAAAGGAAAGCAAACCCGGGCGACAGGAGTTTCACCGCTACGTTAATATTAGTGACGAATTGGCTGGTATAAAAAGCGAGCTTACCGGTTTTAGCGGTCAGAACGTCTTTCGAACGTGTAAGTGATCACATCGCCTTTTTGACTGGCCATTTTTTCCCGATTCTTCATAAGAAAACAATTTTGGTTTCTGTTCAGTGCATTTCATTGTGGCTTATTTATCTTTGCTATCGGATTGCATATTCAAAGGATTATAGTGAACAACAGTTGCAAATTTGAAGAGAGAAAAAGAGAGAAAGAAAACTGATCGTGAAAACGAAGTGCTTTGAAGTGATTTCTTTTTCTCTTCGATTTTTTTTTTTTAAATTCTCAATCTATTCAAAGCAAATACTGGATTAATCTAATCGACTTCAACCATCGATTTCCGTACTTTCGAATCATTTTATTTTCTCTTTCGAGAAAAAGAGGAAAAAGAGGAGTGATGTGAATGCAACATTTTTAAGGGTGCCTATTATACTCAGACATGTGCTTAAAGTGTTTAGAAAAAAAATTCATTTCAATGAAAAAGAAGGAATAGAATAACGAATTCCAAAATTTTTGTTTCCATTTTCCGATTAATTCAAGTGTGATAGGTGCCTTTTGAATGTTTGTTTTCAACAAAGAAAAAAATGTCATTCGAAATGAAACTTGGACGAAACAAAAAAATTCATTCAACTCGAACACGATGAAATTTCTGTCGTTTGGACTACAAAACTTTAAAAAGAAAATATTTCATATCTAAATATTATATAATACACCCCGCATAAAATTGTAGCAAAAGAGCAACGTTGGCTTGAGCAATGCCGTTAAAATGGAACGAGTGTGAATTTCTATAAAACACTTTGCCACCTACGCACATTCAAGCAAGCAAAAACCTATGGCCAACTATTACACCGATCTCTCGCCTCCGCCTCCGACCGACCGACCCACCGTTTTCAACATAATTCGATCACACCGTGAGACAAATCAATGAACATCCGTCTATGTTCATTTTTCCATGAAATCCACGAATTAAAATTCAATTTGCAAATTGCCCAACAATCTCGATAATTGAGTATTTGAATGAAAGAACCGAAAACGAGAAAGAAAAAAAAATCATTCGGTACACGTAGTCCTTTTGCAGACTGGCGACAAATCCGAACTCAATCATATACATGTGTCTCTCTCACTGTGTGTGTGTGTCTGTGTGAAAAGATTTCGTATTTAGTAACACCGTTCTGAATGTGTTTTCGAATTGGTCAAATAGCTATGTTACGCAAATAGAATTCCTCGGATCCCAGAAATAAAGCGAAAAAACGAAAAAAATAAAAATTCGTTCACCGCGTTTGCGAACGAACCAACCGAAAATCTCAAATACAACACCGACTTATATTGCATTGAGTAGAGAAAAAAAAAGCACGACGGTTCGTGGTGCGCGCATTCCCAAAATAAATTCTATTGCCCACCACACCAAACGATCTCGACCGAATATCCACATCACTGCGATTTCGCATCTCGACCGTGCTGCATCGCGTTAAATGTTGGGCTCTTCTGCGTATAGAGTTTTTAAATAAACTTTTCTCTTTTTTTAAATTTTGAATTCAATTAAGTTCAGGTAGACCACCTTTTTTTTCTCTTCAAAGTAAATTTTTTCATACAAAGTTGGTGAGTTTTTTTTGTTAAGAAGTGTGTCAGTGTACAATTATGTGGCACTTTTTTTTTTAAATAGTTTGATAAAGTGAATTTAAAATTTTTCCATCGATTAAAATCGTCCGAACTTCAATTTCTGCGAAAATTTTCATTCAAATCTTCATTCGAGTACAACTTTGAAACCACAAAATTCAACTTGCTTTTCGAGTATCTTCTTATTTGAAAAAAAAAGTTTTCTGAATTCGTTTAATATTTCCTTTCGACTTCTTTCGAACAACCTAAAAAGTTAATTGATCTTTTATTGTGCAAGCACACTTGTTCAATTTATGTGATAATTGTGGAAAACTTTTCGTCAGACTCATCAGTTGCAACTACATTACAATTTTGAAATAATAAGCCGACGAGTGAAAATGTGTTTGAAAATAATACATACAAAACCGAGCCACGGAGCATAAATAAAACACGAAAAAAATATCTCGTTTAAATGGTTGTTTTCGAGCGTAGAAAAAAAAACAAATTCCTCGATCATTTCATGGCTGTTCGGTTTTCAACGGGACCAACCTACTTTCATACCATTTCAGACACATTGCTTGCGTTACTGATCTCTCGCCGAATGTGTTACGTAAACATAAAAATAGCTCACTTTTTCATAACAAGTGACTCATAGACGTTCACGCAACCACACATGAATATTTTTCGTATTCGATTCGCATTTTGCTGTTTTCGGTTTGCACATTAATTTTTTGTATGATGAAAACCCAGAAAGTAAAATTTAAAATTCGGAATTTTGTATTTATTTGCCTTTCCAAAACAAATGTTCCGTTTTTATTTTCAAGTTAAATTTTCCATAGACTTTTCATTTGAACGAATTTCTCGCCTGGATTTATCTCGCCGCAAGTCGTCGTTCGAATTTGAAAAAAAAAGTTGGTGTAGTAAATTTGGTCAGCGCATATTTATGTGACTTGGTGATCGGGTACAATTATTCGCCAAGCATCGAAATTCACACTCATCGATTCTCACTTCACCGTGGGCTATTTTTAGCCACACACAAAATCAAATCACATTCACCACACGGAATGAAAAACTTCACAAGTGGAAAGAGCAAATTTATCGCCTGTCTATATTTAGGATCAGGCGGAGGCAACCGAAAATTTCGCGCATATGCTGAACAAATTCAGAATGATTTTATGTGAAAAACAAAAACGAAAAAAATAAATAAAGAGAGAGAGGGAGAGAGAGAGAGAGTAAATCTTTCGAACATTTTCAATTCAACATTCCAATTCTGTATTCGCTGAACATAGAGAGAAGAAGATAAAAACGCAACGAAAAAAAAAAACATTTAATTTGTTCGACTGTACTTGTTTACGCAATCTGTTGATTTTCTCTCATTTTTAATTTAAATGTCGATCAATCAGTAGCTAATTAATTTTTAATTCATTTTTTCCACCGCATTTTTTCCATTTCCATCTAGGGAGGCGATTGGGCTCAAACTGGATTAACGAAATACAAAATTATTCTTTTTAAAAGAAAAACGCACACGTGTCTTTAGTTTTTTTTGTTCTGTGTATCGTGAAATAATCGAAGATGGGAAAGCCACCACCAAATCAAGAAAATGAAGATCCAACCCCATACCTTTTCGTTTCTCTCGAACAAAAGCGTATCGATCAATCGAAACCTTACGATTCGAAGAAAGCATGCTGGGTGCCAGATGAGAAAGAGGGTTACGTCTTAGGTGAGATCAAGGCCACCAAGGGTGACATCGTTTCCGTCGGGGTTCCAGGTGGAGAGGTATGCATAACACTGACAAACCGATTCTTTTCTGCTGAGCATTTTTGTGATCGGTGGAAAAATGGTTAAACAAAAAAAAAAAAACATTCAAAATTCCATTTCAATTTATTTGTCATTCACATCAACCTCAACATAAACATATTTCACTTTCCATGAGTTTAGACCAGAAATGTTAAGAAAGAGGACGTTGGTCAAGTCAATCCACCAAAATTCGAAAAAGTTGAAGATATGGCCGATTTGACCTATCTTAACGAAGGTGCTGTTTTGCACAATTTGAAACAACGTTACTACTACAAACTAATCTATGTAAGTATCAATATTCAAACGAAACTAATGGTTGTCTCTTTTTCTTCTTCTTTTTTCCATTACTCAAATCTCGACTCGGCGAAATCTTGAACTCGGAAAATCTATGACAAAACGCTCTGACTCTATCCGAATACAAAAAAAAAAAACAAAAAAAATAATCAATTAGACCAAAGATTTCAAGAAAGATTTGGTCACACAAGTCAATCCACCAAAATATGAGAAGGCAGAAGATATGTCTAACTTGACTTATCTTAACGATGCTTCTGTCCTTCACAATTTGAAGCAACGTTACTACCATAAACTGATCTACGTAAGTTGTACGACCATTGTGTTGGCACGGTTTCTGTTTCGTGTTATGTGCAATGGCCTACCATTTCGATTTCCTCCCCGCGCGGAATACTCCCTCTGCTCATGAACTTCAGACAAATCATGATCGTGAAAACCCCGATATGCACTCAATATGACGCTGCATTCCAGTCTTTTCCTCGACGTTCCGTTTTTTTTCTGCATAACAAACACTACCAACCCCAGAGAGTAAACACAATCAACTAACATTCAATACAATATATAAGCATTTCGAACACTGTATCCAGTAGTATTAGTAATAACATACTCATTATTTGGTCTCAAAAACAAAACAAAAAACATACGAAAAAAATCACACTAACATACGTACAATTTAAAAAACAAAAACTTTCCATAAATTTTCATACTTTTTTTCAACTGGACAAATTTTAGTGCCAGATTCTACAAAAATTACTTCAAAATTCTTTTTTTTACATTTTATTGTACGTTTGCCATCATTTTGGTTTTTCATCTTAGATTACGAAGAGTCAAATTCCGATAACTGAACAATCGGTGATGAGGCCTTCGTAAGAATAATACATTTTTATGATTGGCAGTAAGAAAATGACTCAAACTGCCTGTTATATCCCCCACTCAAAAACTCCAAATTGTGAATTGTGCTCACAAAAGCTACTCTTGGACGCACGATATTCCATTGTTTTGCTATGTTTCAATTTCCACCACAAAGAAAAAAAAATACCCATAGGAAATTGGTTCGTCTACAAACGATAAAAAAAATTATCATGTAGCGAACGTGATTCCGTTTCCATGTCATAGATTCGTGTTTCGTAATTTGTTTCAATTATTTTCTGTTCAATTTTGTATTTGTAATGAACCACATTATAACCACTACTGCATAATGTCGGTTCTTATCAAACTTGACGGAATGGTTGGGAAAATGTCCAAAATGGATTAAAATCCGTTACAAATCATTCATTTCCCATAAGTTCGGTCAAAAAAACACCAACCAAAAATTTTACTCATTGTCTTCCGTTTTTATTACGATTTCTTTCTAACTCGACCTCAAACAGACTTACTCCGGTCTTTTCTGCGTTGCTATCAATCCATACAAACGCTACCCAGTCTATACCAACCGTTGTGCTAAGATGTACCGTGGTAAGCGTCGTAATGAAGTACCACCCCATATTTTTGCCATCTCTGATGGTGCCTACGTCAACATGTTGACCAACCATGAAAATCAATCCATGTTGATTACTGGTGAATCTGGTGCCGGTAAAACTGAAAACACGAAGAAGGTCATTGCCTACTTTGCCACCGTTGGTGCATCGCAAAAGAAGGATGCTGCCGCCGAAAAGAAGGGCTCATTGGAAGATCAAGTCGTCCAAACCAATCCGGTACTTGAAGCCTTCGGTAACGCCAAGACCGTCCGTAACGATAACTCATCTCGTTTCGTAAGTATCACATCGGGCACACCATTTGCCTGTTTAGAGAGACGCTGCACACTTTGCATTTTCGACCGTTCGAATAACATATGGTTTTCCTTAATCAAATAGGGTAAATTCATTCGTATTCACTTCGGTCCATCTGGTAAATTGGCTGGTGCTGATATTGAAACCTACTTGTTGGAAAAAGCTCGTGTCATCTCACAACAATCGTTGGAACGTTCATATCACATCTTCTACCAAATCATGTCTGGTTCAGTTCCTGGAGTTAAAGGTATGATTGTCGGAACTTTTCCTTTTTGTAATGTCACATTTCAAAATGCACTTGTTTAAAATCGACAGCACACGATAAAAAAAAATGAACGATTTACTAGCGATTAGGATTTATTTCAGTTGATTATTGATTAGATTTGAAAGGGACACAACATTTTTTGTAGAATTCTTTTGATTCTTGCGTACATATTGCTGATGCAATCTTAGGCAACCAGAAAACCCTATATCGATATCGATATTGATTTGTATATAATCAAGATTTTGATTTTAGCGGCATTTACCCTTTAGATGTAGATCTTAGAATATCATTTTTTTACAAATAACTAACCCAAATTTCTCCCCATTCTTCAATGAGGCGAATACCGACAGATTTTCTCTTTACCATAGAAAAACGAACCATTTCTTCTTTTGTTTCTAATAATGATTCTCTCTCATGCACTTAATTTTTCCGATGTACCATGTATCCCCCCCCCCCCAAAAAAAAACACACAAATTCGATCATCAACTACTTCCAAAATTCCACAACACCATTTGTTTTTGAAATCATTAGAAGCTTGCTTGCTGTCCAACAACATCAACGACTACCGAATTGTTTCGCAAGGAAAAACCTCAATTCCAGGCGTTGATGATGGCGATGAACTCGAATTGACCGACGTAAGACATCGGCTCGTTTTATTCCACTTCCCGAGTGTTTTAAGTTTTTCTTTGTTCCGGTTTTGTTGTTTAGTAGCGTTATTTTTTTTTCTCATCCACACCTTTTGGTCTCGTACAAGACATGGTCGACCATAAAGTAGTTTTAGTTTTTTCCAACAACCACCCACCCCAAATGGCACACACACAAGACATGCTGCCACATTGTTTGATCACTAAAATTTGGAACGTAGTGATCTATTCTTATTATTAGAATTGATTTTAATCGCTAACATTATGATTAGGAATTTGATTTTTTTTTATTCATAAACATTACCAAACACCGATCCCAAAACACAAAGACCTATGTAACGGTTCTATTTCCCTAAACCATACTCAGAGTATTTGATGCTGTCTAACAACATAAACGACTATCGTATTGTGTCACAAGGCATGACAAAAATACCTGGCGTTGATGATGCAGCTGAATGGGTTGAGATTGATGTAAGACACTGCCAACTTAGATTCTTTTTTTTTATTTTCATTAAACACCAAATAGTATTAGTATAAATATTATACGATTTTCTTTATTCCAAGTGTTTGTTTGTTTGTTAATTTTGTTATTGCATGCCGCTTTATAAACAACTATTTTTTTCTTTTCAAAAATCAAAAGTTTATTCGATAAGGTTGAAATTCAAGTTAGGAATGTGATTGATTACTGCATCATATAAAAAAAAATTCAAGACAAATGAAAGGTTTTCATGGAATACAAGAAAAAAAAATAAACGAAAAAATTCAGTTTTCACTAATATTTTGCGTTTGTGATTGGAATGTGAACCAATTTAGAACTGTGCTTGTTGGGAACACACATTTCCACTTATCCGACTATATGTCAAGGTAAAACAAGGATTCCTGGTGTCAACGATGGTGACGAATTTGAATTGGTCCATGTAAGTCAACGCGAAGTAGATTGAACAACCCAATCCGAATAAGTTAAACAAATATGCCAAAAAAACGATGTTTTTTTTCTGTCTATCTCTCTTAAAACACAGTTAAAATATGTAAATACTTTCCAGAATTGTACAGTATTCATAGCTGGGAGCTGGAACATAAAATTGAAATTAGAATTGGCATATTGAACAACAAAAAAAGAGCTGTCATGACACCAGGAATTCTTTTAGCATCATCAGTATAGAAACAAATTGGATAGCTTGAACACTCCTGCTCCTGGCTATCTGGTCATCATTTTTTTTTAATCGTACATTCCCCGACAACTTGTGTAAAGTGTAAATAAAGTAGAGAGACCGAGAGTATTTTACCTCGAACATAACGAAAACAAGTAGTACGAAGGAGAATTGTGGGACAATTTAGGAGAAATGATATTTTTTTTAAAAACACGACGAACAAAAGATACAGTGACATACAGTGATGGAGAAGCAAATGAGACACACACACAAACACATTACATAGGAAATATCAAAGCAAAATGTGGGCGATATGAATTTGATCACCATTTTTAATCATCGATATATATTTTTTCTTTCTCTTTTGTTCTCACTCTCAAATCCATCGTTCAACAGCCATGTGCTCTTTGTCTGAAAATATCTACGATTACTATAATGTGTCTCAAGGCAAAATCACTATTCCAAGTATGGATGATGGTGAAGAATTTACGCTCACCGACGTAAGTTGTTCGTGTATTGTAACATGTTGTGTTTGGTCACAGTTACCATTATGCATCATGTGTTTATTTGTATGTCCTCGGATCCCAAGAAAAAAAAAACCAATCATACGGTATATCAAGAATTAGAACACACCAAACCGTACTTAAACAAACGAAAAAACGTTTTAATAACCAAAAACCAATCCTCGTTCGAAAATGAACCAACAAAACTAGAACGTACAAAACATAAAACGAACGTAGTATATCTCACATTTTGCAGCGGCCATCACCACCAGTTTTACCCATATGAAGTGACCCCACAACTTTTGTGTGTTTATTCTAAATGTGACCAATGTCGAATGAATCCTCCGATCTAAAACAAAACAAAACAAACAAGAAAATCTGTATTAAACAGGAATCTACATTTATGATTTGTCACCTCTCCAGTTGTTATACTTCTATCGGTCATTCGGATGCAATGTGCCTGTGCATTGCATTTTTTTTTCAACTGAGCGAGACGAAGTTGAAAAGTATTTCCTTTTTCCATTTCTCAATTATTCAAAAAAAAAAATAACAAAAAGTCATAAGTAGTTCTAATTCACCAATCGTCAAATATTCCCCTACCACACCTTTTTTTTTAAATGGAAGACCCGATTTATTCCATAAAAGGAATGACATCCTGTATATTTCAACAAAATCAAAACAAAAATCAAAACAGTAATCATTCCACACAAATATTAAAAAATTTAATTCAAAATGTCAAACCAAAACCTTAATCCAAAACTTCAGAAATAAAAATGCACATAACTCAGCTTGCATGAAATGTATTGTTTCCATGAATTTGTTTCTTTTTTTTCCACTAAAAATAACCACAAAAAATGTAAATGAAACAAATCAGATTAATAATTCGCCAATATTTTGTTTTTTATTAAATAAATGATAAACAACAGCAAGCCTTCGACATCTTGGGCTTCACCAAGGAAGAAAAGGAGAATGTCTACAGGATCACTGCCGCTGTCATGCACATGGGTGGCATGAAGTTCAAGCAACGTGGTCGCGAAGAACAAGCCGAAGCTGATGGTATGGAAGAGGGTGAACGTGTCGCCAAATTGTTGGGCTGTGACGTCCAAGAATTGTACAAGAACTTGTTGAAACCACGTATCAAGGTCGGTAACGAGTTCGTCACCCAAGGTCGTAACAAGGATCAAGTCGCCAACTCAATCGGTGCCTTGTGCAAAGGTACATTCGATCGTTTGTTCAAATGGTTGGTCAAGAAGTGTAACGAAACATTGGACACCAAACAAAAGCGTCAACACTTCATCGGTGTGTTGGATATTGCTGGTTTCGAAATTTTCGAAGTGAGTATCATTTAAATGAAATGCCAACATCAACACATTTATTTATTCATTTTGATTTGGGCGTCTCCTTTATTTCGACTGTATCTTTCTTGAAAAAAAAAATATGGTCGCATAGGATGATTTCTTCTCTATTTTCCATCTAGTTCAGTTCTCTTCGAGAGGTTAAAATTGCCGCTCTATAGCGACGACATCTCCATTTCAATATTATGTCATATTTTAATAATCATTCCAATTTATATTTAGTACAATGGTTTTGAACAACTTTGTATCAACTTTACCAATGAAAAATTGCAACAATTTTTCAACCATGTTATGTTCGTTCTTGAACAAGAAGAATACACAAAGGAAGGTATTCATTGGGAATTCATTGATTTCGGTTTGGATTTGTTGGCCTGCATTGAGCTCATTGAAAAGGTTCGCTGATGTGTTTGAAAAAAAAAACCTCTCTGTTCCTCTTTGTTAGATTTCCATGTAAAGATTAGTTCTGTTAATGTTATGTTGTTTTGAGAAATGAGAATGAATACGCCGAGCGAAAAATGCAATCCACACAGTACACAGTGGTGGAGTAAAGTAGGTATTATTGTGGTTTTTAAATGATTGCCAATCAACAATCCTCAGTAGTCGTAACCGTAGTAATTTCTATTTGTGTTTTTAATAAATGTTCCACAGATATTCATTTGCGTAAGCCATTTCTGTAGCTGTTGATATAAAAAATGTTCTATATCTCTTTCTCCTTGAATGTTGACTTCATATTTCTCCACACATACAAAAATCAATCATTTTCCATGTCCATGTGTAGTAATTAAAACAACAAAACGAAACGATTCCATTTACAATTTGCGATATAATATCTAAAATGTAAACCTATTTTGCCACCTCCTTGATCTTGTAGTATAACGGTTTTGAGCAACTTTGCATCAATTTCACCAACGAAAAATTGCAACAATTCTTCAACCATCACATGTTTGTGTTGGAACAAGAGGAATACAAAAAAGAGGGTATCGATTGGGCATTCATTGATTTCGGAATGGATTTGTTAGCCTGTATCGATTTAATTGAAAAGGTAGTTTCCCCGATTCCCATATTTGATATTTGGTGAACTTTGTTCGCTTACACACATTCTGCACGAATGTTACGGAATATAAGAGACAAATACAACAAATATATGGAAATATTTTCCAACTGATGCACAAATATTGAACAAACTGTCAGCCGAACATTTCCAAAAAAAACATTGATTCGATTCTATTTGTGTTCAGTTGTTTGAATTTGTCGCGTTCTGTGCATGTTCCTGTCCGACTGTTTTTTCTTTTGGTTGAACGATGCATTGATATATATCTTCAATGGAATTTGATTACAAACATGGATGGCCCCTCCCGGATCTTTTTTTGTTCGTTTTTTACCTCTGGATTTGTCACAAGCGAGCATAAATTCCATGGAATGGAAGTGCTCTGGTCCAAATTGATCTTCATCTCTTTGTTCGTCCATTTATTCCCTTTATATATGACTAACTTACCCCAAACATTTATTAATTTCAAAACATATTTTTTTAAACTTTTTTTTTCGGAATCGATATCCAATTTTCACCACCTGGAAAAACACAAACAAAAAACATATATATGATATACCCCTCCTGATGACCGAAAACACAAAATTGGCAAACCACCTCGAAAAATTTGAAATTAAAAAAAATCAAAATTTACATCCCCGGATTCAAAAATTGGTGTGGAATCGTTGTGCTGCAAACGAAAAAAACAAAAACAATTGAACGACATGAAAACAGTACAACGGTTTCGAACAATTGTGTATCAACTTCACTAACGAAAAATTGCAACAATTCTTCAACCATCACATGTTCGTGTTGGAACAAGAAGAATACAAACGTGAAGGTATTGAATGGACCTTCATCGATTTCGGCATGGATCTTCAACAATGTATTGAACTTATTGAAAAGGTATTGCGACCGCTGTTGGGAATATAGCACTGACACAACTCTGTCTCAACAACACACTCCTCTAACTCGATTGATCTTGTGTTTGACTCGTTTGGCCCTAAACATTGCTAATTCATTCAGATTTCTTGTTTTTTAACGTCAAAGCTAACTAACGTGGCTCATCTCACCCTTTCCTCATGGAAAGGATGAATTTAAAACAGAAAAAAAAATCGCATTGCTTCTACCCATTTTGATCGTTTTAATTGAACGATTATTTGTTCTTTACATTTATTCTGGTACAGTTAAATGGTTTTAATCAGCTATGCATAAATTATACGAACGAACGACTTCAACAATTCTTCAACCATCACATGTTCGTGTTGGAACAAGAAGAATACGAACGCGAAGGTATTTCATGGACATTCATTGATTTTGGAATGGACCTTCAACCGTGCATCGCTCTTATCGAAAAGGTGCGATGGAAAATCAATCTCTAAGTTTTCAGTAGACAGATTTCTCTCTCACCATCTCGATATAAAAAAAATCGTTTTCTTCATCACTTTTATTTTCTTTCCTTTTAACTTTTTACACAAAACATGAAATTGGAACGGACGAATCATTTTAGTAATTTGTATTCGATTGCAGTATCTCGATAAAGTATTTGTAGTTCGTTGTAAATTGTTCAGTTTCAGTTGGACGTTTTATGCGTAGCGTTGAAAATACGGCCAAGTTTATGTAAACATACATATTGTCGTAAAATTTGATGGAAAGTAGCAGAAAAAGCGATTAGCTGCGATTAGAATTAAAACCATAGATCTGTACACGTTATATGCATTGCACCAATGAGACTAACCCAAGAAAAGTTATTATAAATGTAAGCGCTTAACAAGAACACAGCTGCTTGAGCAAGGTAAGCCTCAAACTATTAGCATTGATCACATTAAATTGTGGACAAAAAGTTTTTGCAAAATTATATTTATTATATCTGTTTAGTATATGCATGCCTACCGAGTTTGTTTGTGAAAAAAAAAAGTAATTGCCCCATTGAAAACGTGATTACGAGAAAATCTAACGCATTTGTTTTTCTCTTTCTCTTCCTTCGACACATTTTCCACACACAGCCAATGGGTATCTTGTCAATTCTTGAAGAAGAATCTATGTTCCCGAAAGCCACCGATCAAACCTTCGCTGAAAAATTGACCACCAACCATTTGGGCAAATCGGCTCCATTCCGTAAAGCCCCACCAGCAAAGGCTGGCCAACAACAAGCCCACTTTGCTATTGCCCATTACGCCGGTACTGTGCCATACAACATCACCGGTTGGTTGGAAAAGAACAAGGATCCATTGAACGACACCGTTGTCGATCAATTCAAGAAATCAGCAAACAAATTGTTGATTGAGATCTTCGCCGCTGATGCCGGTCAATCTGGTGGTGGTGGCGGTGACGCTAAAGGTGGTCGTGGTAAGAAGGGTGGTGGCTTCGCTACCGTCTCATCATCATACCGTGAACAATTGAACAACTTGATGGCCACATTGCGTGCCACTCAACCTCATTTCGTCCGTTGTATTATTCCAAATGAAATGAAACAACCGGGAGTCATCGACTCACACTTGGTCATGCATCAATTGACCTGTAACGGTGTGTTGGAAGGTATCCGTATTTGCCGTAAAGGTTTCCCCAACAGAATGGTCTACCCAGATTTCAAACTCCGGTAAGTGTCAACTGTTCCACGCTATCTCGACTTCATTCCATTTTTTTTGAATCTTTTTTTTTGATAAAGCAAATATTTTTTAAAGAATTTTTTTTTTTGAAGAAACCGATTTTTTTATATGAACCGTCCGAATTTTTGAATGTCTCAAATACTGATAGAGAATATGAACTTTTTTTAGTTATATGATCATTGCACCGGCTATCATGACCAGTGAAAAAGATCAAAAGAAAGCCGCACAGAAATGTTTTGATTCGGTGGGATTGGATCCAGACATGTACCGTATTGGTCATACAAAGGCGAGATATTTTGATTGTCTTTTCCCAAATTATTACTGTCTGCTTACTGTTCATTCGGTATTCACAAACCTTTCCACTCTGGACCATGAAACCAATCTCTCTCTCTCTCTGTTTTTATATCCGTCGATGTGTCGCATGAAATTTTCTCTTTCGAATCTTGATACAAACATCTTCTCATTCCCTGTTTTTGGATACGTGTCCTATGGACATTTGTTCGAATTTTTGTGATTTTTTGAAACCAAACATATTTTTTTGTGATTTTGACCATTTTTTGTCCATCCAATGTTGGAATCCTTTTTTTTCCTGAATGGGACTTGATTCATATTGTTATACACAAATCATCTGTTTTACACTTGTTTTTTTCTTGTTCCTTTTTGTGAACAAAAATTCCTCTTTAACTAAATTTCATTTTGAAAATAAACCAACAACACCATTCACAACATAGATATAAGATTCTTGCGACTCAAGCGATTGCCGGAGTAACTGATCCACAGAAAGTGGCCAAACTGATTTTGGAGTCAACGGGTTTGGATCCAGAAAATTATCGTCTTGGAAATTCAAAGGCATGATAAACCATATAATTGCGCCAATTCTCAATTACGGTTTTTTCTTTGTCACGCATATTTTTCTGTAGAGTTTTACTTAGAGCAAAAGTAGTGGTTACTAGACAATTTTTTTTACCTCCTTTCCCCCCACTTTGTTCCTCCACCAATCAACTGTGCACCACCAATTCATTTTACAATTAATTGTTCATACGACGACAGAAAAAAAATCAGGTTGATTCAATGAAATATGGACTTTATATGATACGGTTTTTCCTTCAAGCCAAACACACAGGCTCGTTGCTGCTGTGATTCTGTTTATTTGCTACTTTTTTTTGTTCATCCTTTGGTTATTATTCACAAAATATTCAAATTTAATGAGAAAAAAAACCGTTTGCCGTTATCCCCTTTTCCCGACACCAGTTACCAAATTCTCTGCCCAAAACTGATCCAAGGTGTAAGTGATCCGAAAAAGGTTGCCGGCATTATTTTGGAACAAACTGGATTGGCTGATGATACCTTCCGTCTTGGAAACACTAAGGCACGATTATTCACATTGTTATTTGTTTGTTATTGAATCGCGCGCGCGCAAGCTGCTACTACATAATGATGGTTTTTTTTTCTAATTATCAATAATCGATTCGTTGACATTCTAACGTCGTTTTTTATGTGTAAATAAGTGTTTCAAAATTTTTAATCGACTGATCAACTGTGAAGCAAGTGTCCATAGTGCTCAAATCGCATAAAATCACAATAAGACGGCAATCAAATGCGATTTGTTGACTTGGCCTATCTTCGTGTATAAATTTCGCTTTATTTTTCTCTCTATCTTACAAATTCATGCCATATATCAAGCGTCGTGTTGCATTCGAAAGACAATTGCAACAAACGAACAAGAAATCTCTAACGAGAAAAGGGATATATACATCCAAGGCATCATCTACACAGTACCATGACTATGACTCAACTTGTGTAATCATTTTTTTCACCATGAAACCTTTAGTTTTAGACGTTTGACTTCTTTTTTGTGTGGTAAAAAAGGAAACGCTGCACAATTCCAGCACCTTTTTAAGTGCTAGTTAGTCAATTAGTTCTAAGATACATTCCTAAAATCAAATGGTTTATCTGAGAAGGACATTGATCATTCTTTAATTCATAAAATCATTTACCATAGACTCAATACTTAGTTGATTTAACTGAACATGTGCATCGAACAGAAACTGCTTTACACAGAACATAAAAACATCAACTGTTCATCGATGCGTTTTTAGTCATAAGCCCTTTTAAATTCATTTAAATTTTTGTAGCTGTAACTCGTAAGGTATTTAACACAATTTCGTTTCCATTTTTTTCTCACACTGTTTGTTAAAATCCAATCATAAAAACGCACACAACACAGATACTCAATTCTGTGCGTCAATAAACTAAAACCGCCAATAACTCCTGAAAAGTCTGCTAGAGTTATTTTGGAGCACCTTGATCTTGATCCTGAATCATTCCGATTTGGTAACACTAAGGTACTGAGTACACCATATCGTAGTTCAAATTGCACGTTAAAACATTTTTTTCTTCACTGTTTCGTTTACTGTTTGGAATGTTAACAACAACCACAAAAACCAATGACAAAAAAAAACAAAAACCAAAATGCCTAACGCTCCATGCCACTTTTATGAAAAAACCCACTTTAACCGAAAAAAAAAACACGAAAAAGTCACTTCAAGTGAGATTCACTCATTTGTGTGAATTTTTCTCCGCTTTGTAAAATGGTCAACTTTGCGATGATCACATTCTAATTGATTTATTTTCTTCTGCTGTCCGTCCGACGTTTGCTTTCTCTCTCTCTCTCTCTCTCTACGTTGAAATCAATTGCACAATATATAGGTGTTCTTCCGTGCTGGTGTCTTGGGTCAAATGGAAGAATTCCGTGACGAACGTCTCGGCAAGATCATGTCATGGATGCAAGCCTGGATCCGTGGTTACTTGTCACGTAAAGAATACAAGAAGATCCAAGAACAACGTATCGCCCTCCAAATTGTCCAACGTAACTTGCGCAAATACATGCAATTGCGTACCTGGCCATGGTGGAAATTGTGGCAAAAGGTCAAGCCTTTGCTCAATGTTACACGTGTTGAAGACGAAATTGCTGTAAGTATTACTGAAATGATGTTGGCTGCTACCGTTGTCGTCATCAGAAATGCTCAAAACGGATGCGAATGTGTGTCAGGTTGCAACATCGTCATATTTAAACTACCGTTAAAACTGTCAGCATACCGTAACCATCCGATCAGCAATCGGTTTAATTCTCGCCATAAATTTATTCGCGCCATTACAAAACGGAATTTTCGAGTATAAATTTAGAATTTCAATGTTGATTCAAGCAGGTAAAATGTATTTCATTTTTATGAGTGCGTAGGATGGATGCATCACATGAAACATTTTCGATCGACAAAAAATTATTGGAGAAAATCGAGTATTCAGTTCGGTTTTGATACTCATCAAAATCACATTCGCACTCCGGAATTCGTTTTGAGCGAAAGAAAACGACACAGATTTGTTTCACTGTAGTTGAAGCGCAAGAAGTAAAATGGAATTTACTAACGATTCTTCATTTGTTCAGAAATTGGAAGAGAAAGCCCGTAAAGCCGAAGAAGCTCTTGAAGCCGAAACCAAAGTACGCAAAGATTTGGAAGGTCTTAACTCAAAATTGTTAGCCGAAAAAACTGCCCTTTTGGATTCATTGGCTGGCGAGAAGGGATCATTGCAAGAATACCAAGAGAAATCAGCTAAATTGCAAGCCCAAAAGAACGATCTCGATAATCAACTTCGTGTAAGTTTTTTTTTTGTTTTTTTTTTTTTGTAAAATGAAAACGTGAACAATTGTCGAATGTGTTTTGGTAATTTATTGGATATTGTTATATGAAAACAGGACACCCAAGACCGTTTGTCACAAGAAGAAGATGCCCGCAACCAATTGTTCCAACAAAAGAAGAAATTGGAACAAGAATGCAGTGGATTGAAGAAGGATATCGAAGATTTGGAACTCAGCGTCCAGAAGATCGATCAAGATAAGGCCACCAAAGATCATCAAATTCGTAACTTGAACGATGAAATCGCCCATCAAGACGAGCTTATCAACAAATTGAACAAAGAAAAGAAATTACAAGGTGAAACCAACCAAAAGACCGGTGAAGAATTGCAAGCTGCCGAAGATAAGATCAACCACTTGAACAAAGTGAAAGCCAAGCTCGAACAAACCTTGGACGAACTTGAAGACTCATTGGAACGTGAGAAGAAATTGCGCGGTGATGTCGAGAAGGCCAAACGCAAGGTATGTGTGTCATTTTGTAACGAACATTTATTGTCGGTTGTGAATTGTGATTTTTCTCATTGTGATTATGTGTCCGTTTTTGGTGTTCAGGTTGAAGGTGACTTGAAATTGACCCAAGAAGCCGTCGCCGATTTGGAACGCAACAAGAAGGAACTCGAACAAGCCATCGCCCGTAAAGACAAGGAATTGTCATCACTCACCGCCAAATTGGAAGATGAACAATCCGTTGTTAGCAAGAGCCAAAAACAAATCAAGGAATTGCAATCACGCATCGAAGAACTCGAAGAAGAAGTCGAAGCCGAACGTCAAGCTCGTGCCAAGGCTGAGAAACAACGTGCCGATTTGGCCCGTGAACTCGAAGAATTGGGTGAACGTCTTGAAGAAGCCGGTGGCGCCACATCCGCGCAAATCGAACTCAACAAGAAACGTGAAGCCGAACTCAGCAAACTCCGTCGCGATTTGGAAGAAGCTAACATTCAACATGAAGGTACATTGGCCAATCTCCGCAAGAAGCACAATGACGCTGTTGCTGAAATGGCCGAACAAGTCGATCAACTCAACAAATTGAAGGCTAAGTAAGTACACAGTGAGCGATTTAGATGCTTTTTCTCTTTTTAAATTGAACAATTTTAAAGAAACAAAAAAAAACAAAAATTCATGGGATAAATTCTTGAAATAATAAATTGAATTTAGAGCTGAGCACGATCGTCAAAGCGCACACAATGAACTCGTTAACACTCGTACCGCTTGTGACCAACTCGCACGTGAGAAGGTAATTGCTTGTTCAGTGTTTTGCCACAACAAAACCAACAAGAACACTTTCTACACGTTAAAAACACAGACAAACAATAAAAAAAAGCTACACCAAAACACTCATTCGGTATATGTTTATCCTGCTCGTGCTCCAGCCCAATCGTTTTATTTTTATTATTATCATTTTTGTTGTTTAATAAATCCCTTTCAATTGAACCAACCAACAAATCCTTGATCCAATCGAATCTAAACCAAACACATTATCTGTTGTAACATAGGGCTGAAAAGGAAAAGTCCCAATACTTCGGTGAATTGACTGATCTTCGTGGAAGCGTTGACCATCTTGCCAACGAAAAGGTATATTGCGACGAACTGACTGAAACATGCAAACTGCTTCTAAACGCCTGCGCAATTCTCTTTCTCTATCCAAAAAAAAATTCTCTGACCCTAATCCACACAATTCTTTCCTTTTTGCTGAGCTTTTCATATTAACACATATACTGAATATACACACACACACACAACACACATACATAGTACACGATTATTACACAGCTAAATGCAATGCAATGCACAGTTTTCCTCACATTTGAACTATTGAAACTAATATGCAATTTTTGACCGTATGAACACAGGCTGCCCAAGAAAAGATCGCCAAGCAACTCCAACACACCTTGAACGAAGTACAAAGCAAACTCGACGAAACCAACCGCACTCTCAACGACTTCGATGCCCAAAAGAAGAAGCTCTCAATTGAAAACTCCGACCTCCTTCGTCAACTCGAAGAAGCCGAATCACAAGTTTCGCAATTGTCGAAGATCAAGATTTCACTCACTACCCAACTTGAAGACACCAAACGTTTGGCCGATGAAGAATCACGCGAACGTGCCACTTTGTTGGGCAAATTCCGTAACTTGGAACACGACTTGGACAACCTCCGTGAACAAGTTGAAGAAGAAGGTGAAGGCAAAGCTGATTTGCAACGTCAACTCAGCAAGGCTAACGCTGAAGCTCAAGTCTGGCGCACCAAATACGAATCGGACGGTGTTGCCCGTTCAGAAGAATTGGAAGAAGCCAAGAGAAAGTTGCAAGCTCGTTTGGCTGAAGCTGAAGAAACCATCGAATCACTCAACCAAAAATGCATCGCTTTGGAAAAGACCAAGCAACGTTTGTCAACCGAAGTCGAAGACTTGCAATTGGAAGTCGACCGTGCCAATGCCATTGCCAACGCTGCCGAAAAGAGACAAAAGGCATTCGACAAAATCATTGCCGAATGGAAACTCAAGGTCGACGATTTGGCTGCTGAACTTGATGCATCACAGAAGGAATGCCGCAACTACTCAACCGAATTGTTCCGTCTTAAGGGCGCCTACGAAGAGGGACAAGAACAATTGGAAGCTGTCCGTCGTGAGAACAAGAATCTCGCCGATGAAGTTAAGGACCTTCTTGACCAAATTGGTGAAGGTGGCCGCAACATCCATGAAATCGAAAAGGCACGCAAACGCTTGGAAGCCGAAAAAGATGAACTCCAAGCCGCTCTTGAAGAGGCTGAAGCCGCTTTGGAACAAGAAGAGAACAAAGTATTACGTGCACAACTTGAGTTGTCGCAAGTACGTCAAGAAATCGACCGTCGCATCCAAGAGAAAGAAGAAGAATTCGAAAACACACGCAAGAACCACCAACGTGCCCTCGACTCAATGCAAGCTTCACTCGAAGCCGAAGCCAAAGGAAAGGCTGAGGCATTGCGCATGAAGAAGAAGTTGGAAGCCGACATCAACGAACTCGAAATCGCTTTGGACCACGCCAACAAGGTAAGCAACCGCTTTAATTTGTTCTTTGTTGATCAAAAGTTGAGAATCCTTCAAAAAAAAAAACGGTTTGCTAATGGCTCTTATCCACCCATCCAAATTCTAGGCCAACGCTGAAGCCCAAAAGAACATCAAACGCTACCAACAACAACTTAAAGACTTGCAAACCGCATTGGAAGAAGAACAACGTGCCCGCGACGATGCTCGTGAACAACTTGGCATCTCAGAACGTCGTGCCAACGCCCTTCAAAACGAACTTGAAGAATCACGTACATTGCTCGAACAAGCCGACCGTGGACGTCGTCAAGCCGAACAAGAATTGGGAGATGCTCACGAACAACTCAACGAAATCTCCGCCCAAAACGCTTCGATTTCAGCTGCCAAACGCAAGTTGGAATCAGAACTTCAAACATTGCATTCAGATTTGGATGAATTGTTGAACGAAGCCAAGAACTCCGAAGAAAAGGCCAAGAAGGCTATGGTTGATGCTGCCCGTCTTGCCGATGAACTCCGTGCCGAACAAGACCATGCACAAACACAAGAGAAATTGCGCAAGGCCCTTGAACAACAAATCAAGGAATTGCAAGTTCGTTTGGATGAAGCCGAAGCTAACGCCCTTAAAGGTGGTAAGAAGGCAATCCAAAAATTGGAACAACGTGTCCGTGAACTCGAAAACGAATTGGACGGTGAACAACGACGACATGCCGATGCTCAAAAGAATCTCCGCAAATCAGAACGTCGCATCAAGGAATTGACCTTCCAATCAGAAGAGGACCGTAAGAACCATGAACGTATGCAAGACTTGGTCGACAAACTTCAACAAAAGATCAAGACATACAAGAGACAAATCGAAGAAGCCGAAGAAATTGCCGCTCTCAACTTGGCCAAATTCCGCAAAGCCCAACAAGAACTCGAAGAAGCTGAAGAGCGCGCTGACTTGGCTGAACAAGCCATCAGTAAATTCCGTGCTAAGGGACGAGGTGGTTCAATGGCACGTGGTGGTAGCCCAGGCGTAAGTATCCCCCATTCATTTCATTCCAATATTTAAGAAAAAAAACAAATACGCGAATCAATACCTAATTATAATGACCTAAAACGATGAACGCGATTGAACTGTAAAATCCGATTTCATTTCTGATTATATAGCAAACAACAAGTAAAGTACCAATGGTACGCAAGAGTGCGCTGGAATAAATTATTTAAACAGCATTTGTAAGTGAATTTGAAAGAGAATGAAACAAAACACAAAAAAAAAACTCCAAAGCCATCAGAAATTGTTCCCCCAAACATTTATTTTTCTTATTGTTTTTTTTTTTATATGTTGTTGAATGTGCTGCTGTAATTCTGTTTGCATAACTCAACTATCTCATATACACAGTATACCCCCACACAAAAAAAAACAAATTCTCTCATATCTCAAATATTGTTGTTACTTTTTTTTCTCTAATCGATCGCACACACATCTGTGATAAAATATTTTTTTTTATCTCTTTCTCACAAAATTCGACATTTTACTCTCACTCTTGCACACCTCTCTTCTCACACTTTACAATTTTATTCAAAGTCAAACCAAAGATTTTTTTTTTGTATTGTTGTTGAAAAAGTGCACCACAAAACGTGCCGCTTTTTTTATTATTCGACGTTGAAAATTTAATTTTAAGCGAATGAATTCATAAAAACAAACAATCGAAAAAACAGACAAATGAATGTGGAAAAAAAACACACATACACACATGAAAACAAAAACCATTTCATTTCGGAATGAGTTAAATGTTTAGCAAATAAATACTACCCGATGCTTTCGAATGTTCCTGAAGTAAATGGATCATCATTACATGTTGAATCATTTTTTTCCGCTGCTACTCAATATGTTATTCCGTTCTAATCGTTTGATTATCTTTTGCAGCCACGAGCACAATCTGTACGACCAGATGGATTTGGCACCTTCCCACCAAGATTCGACCTTGCTCCAGAAAACGATTTCTTCGCTTAAACTAATAACTATTTTATAAAATAAACCAACAAAAAAAAACAACAACTTCATATATGCAGAAATAAAAAGAAAATTGATACACACATGAAAGAACAAAAAAAAACTAGAGACACAAACCAGCACCGTTCAATCACAACGACTCGGGCCGAACATCGAAACGAGCTGCATACGTCAAGCGTCCCGATATAATCTAATTTTTACTTTTTAAAATCGAAATTTTTATGTTTTTTTCATCATTTCTAATATACAAGCCAACATACAACAATAATAAAAAAAGGAATAATGCCGACACACATATTTTTATCATTCGCATCAAAAGTATAGAATGGATTCAATTGATTTGGTATCTTTATCTATCTTTCTTTACACCAAGAATAAAAATACACATCGATGAAATATAATTTTATAATTTTAAAAAGAAAAAAAAAACAATTGTATTTAGTTTTCAAAACGAATAATACACGCGTTTTGCTATCGATTAGCTTGATTTTGATCGGATTTCGATTTTTTTTTTCTATCCAACACAAAATCTAAAGACACAAGTGCAACAAAATCGCAGAACAAATGAAGCCCAAACATCAACACCACGGAACCGATCTAGATCGCTATTCGATTGACAGAATAATATAATCCATTTATATGTGTGACACTTGAGAAAATAAAAAAAATATTTAATTTACAAGAAAAAAAAAATATCCCGGTATTTTTGGTTCATGAACCCAATTTTATGCATACTTTTGGCCAGTTGAATGAAGTGGCTGATTTAATTTGAGAAGAGAAAATCATTTAAAATATACTGGACTGGCCAACCGAAGAATCACATCAATTTATCAGATACTTGCCTCGTCCAAATCTTTACTCACCCTATTCTTAATTCTCATTCATCTCTGGAAAAAAAGTTTGCGTAGGATTTTTAAAAAAATATGCTTGAAATGATGCGGAGTTAATTTCCATTTTTTATCCAAATTAGTTGTGTTGAACCACAAGCGTAAATTTGTAGCTATATTCCTCCTTTTCTCTATGCCCTTCGAATCAGAAAATAACCCAAACCATTCAATTTTCTTCAAAGACATTTGAATTTTTATTCAAAAAATTATTTAATTTTGGAATGTTCTGTGCTCATTATTTAATGCTTTTTAATTGATTTGCAAATGATTAGAAACTTTCAAATTTAAATTAAAAATTAAATATCAATTAAATTTTTTTCATTGAGACAATCTTCGTTTTGGTTCTGTTATTATTTTGCTGTTTTCTCGATGTTATTGCTTCTTAGCATTTTGGTTTATTTGGCTGTGTTGATTTCATTGATACCATCCATTTAATACGAATACTTTTTCTTATAGACACCGGCAAGCATGCTGGCCATCATTTGCATCTCCTTTGACCAACGCTGGTGTCCATTGTTGTTCAAGTAGCTGAGACATTTCTTCATCACATCGTGTTGTTTGTCTTCGTAAGCGAAATTTTGAGTCACAAATCGCATGCATGGGTTAGATATGATTTGTTCCACGTTGATGGGTTTATCGTCGCAAACACATTGTTCACACTTGCAAACGAAATTCCATCCAGACTTGAGTGCTGTGTGTCGTTCTTCCAATGATCTTACACCGGTGCAATCCAAATACGGCGAACACAGCTGTTGTCCCTTTTTAACGGGCCGAACGGTCACAGTAAATCGCTGATTTCCAGCTGCATAGGTAGCTGTGTTCGGAGCACATGAATGATTCATCAGTGAATGTAAATGGGCCACTGTAAGGTTCGACTCGTTTCCAAGTGAGTTATTTTTCATGATGAGAATATTGTGGGCAACCAAGTGCATCAGGAACCGTTGCTTCTCTGTGGTGTTGAACAAAGCGGCAATCTTCGGATTAGATACTACGCTCTCGTACATCTTGCCCATTCCCAATTGTTCGGATGATTTTGACTCCTGTCTCTGTAGCTTGAAGTAGAAATGGTACTTTGCTTTCGAATCATGCATTGACGTTGGCAATTTCTTTGGATCTTCACGCAATGTACTATCGACGAATTGCATTAGATCGTCCACGTTAGTGAATGCTTCGATTGCCCGCACAACAGCTCGGATTTGGAATTGAATATCATCGTTCCATGCTTTGGGCATGTTGCATTCCCATTTGTGGAAATGATTTCGATTTATGCAATCGTTGCTGCAAAATACCGCATCGGGGCACTGCTTACAAGCGATGAAATTGGCATTTGCGCAGTAGCAAGTTTGACATAACAAATGTACATCGGTTCTGACCAGTACGTAACAGTCCTCCAACATAACAGTTTGACCTGCTGGAATGTCTCGCTTTGCAATCAAATGCCGACCAAATTCTTCATCACATTTTATCTCGACCACATTAGCCATGCCCGGGAAATTCTTATCTGCTGCGTAGCTCAGTTTGCACACATATTTTGGGGGTGTTTTAACTGAAGACATCAATTTGCGGCAATCACGTTCACGTTGCTCTAGCTTTGGAACCAGCCGTTCAGGAAAATTTGCCTCCTTGGCGAGTTGAATGTCAACAATGGCTTCTTTGTACATTCGCATTTTGACAAAACACGCTGATCGATTTGAATATGCCAACGCAACATTCTCTGATCCGGTTTCAGCATAGCACAAACTTTTTGTGTACAAATCCATGGCCACAGACCATTGGCCGGTACCAAATTGTGTATTACCTTCCATGCGTAGCTCAGTGGACTTTTCGTTACTTTTACGTGAGCTCAACGTGTTGAGAAGTTGAACCGACTTGAGTGCAATGTCATCTGGAACAAACGGAAACAAATTCACGTACGACTCTTTTTTCCACAAATTCATTGTGTAATCCTGAAAATATTGGAGATATTTCAGCAAAATGCGGCTAATAAACATTTTCTTAGACCCTGATTTCGAAAACGATTCATATTTTTTGACAGCAACATCTCATATACATTTTATCTCGTTTTACTCCGATATTTTTCCCGCTTTGGTGCACAACACAAAGCAATTTTTAACACGCTTTTCCACCGAATAAATTTTGTTTTCCGAAACCAAAAGGAAACATGAACCGTTTTCGAAATAAGGTCTCATTTGTTGTATTTATGAAAATTTAATTAAATTTTCATTTTATTCAATTAATTACCTGTTGATTTTGCTATAAATAACCTTTGCGAGATGTTGAGCTATATGAACCGGAACAAGGCAATGTTTTGGTTATGTTTGTGACAGATTTGCAATATCAAACGACGATATGCCGTCAAATCGGTACTAAATGTGCTGTGTGTGTGCTAAAACCCTTTGATGTGATTTTTGCTCTCAATGAATCATTACTAAATGCAACATCGCCAATTCGACTAAAGTCATACGAACAAGTCAATCAGCGTCAATTTTGATGAACACGAAGAAACATTGCAGTTCTGAGTTCATATTTCAGCAATAAAAAAAATTTGACAGGCACATTTTGGTTTCGAATCATTGATTTGTATATTTTTTTGAAGTTTTTAAATTGAAATTTTTTCATTTTTATTCGAAACTTTTCCCCTCAACAATTTCAATCGGAGAATGAATGATGGTCAATGGACAATTGAGCATTGTTCATTTCATTCAAAATTCGACTTTGATTTTTTTTTGCTTTTCTTCAAAAAGAAAACATTTGCTTGTAGATGCGTGCAAGAATGCCGGCGACAATTTGCATCTCAATAGTCCACCGTTGATTTTTGTATTTTTTCAGTAGTTTAAGGCACGTCTCCAGTACAATCGGATAGTTCTCTTCGATCGAATAGTTGATGAGTAAAAATCGTGTGCATGGATCTGTCATCATGTGTTTTATATTGATAGGTTTGTCACCAGCAACGCAGTTTTCACACTTACAAGTGAAACCCCAGCCAGATTTGAGTTCCGCTTGTCGAATGTTCAATGGTTTGTCATCGATTGAATGTAAATAATTCATGTAGAGTGGTTGTCCTTTTCTAATAGGTCGAATAGTGATTGAGAATCGTTGATTTCCAGCTGCATAGGTAGCTGTGTTCGGAGCACAAGAGTGACTTAAAAGTGAATGAATATTAGCAATTGTTGTATTCGAGTCGTTTCCAATCGAATTGTTTGATGCCACGAAGAAATGATGCGCAACAAGGTGCATTAAAAAACGCTGTTTCCTCAAAGTGTTGAACACGCTTGCGATTTTTGGAAGCTCAATCATACTTCGGTACAAGGTGCTAATGTCGAGCAGAACTTCTGAAGATTTTGGCTCCGATTTTTGCAGCTTAAAGAAGAAATGATACTTCGACAGTGGGTTGTGCATTGATGTTGGAAGATTTTGCGAATCTTCAAGCAAAGTATGATCAACGAATTGCATCAAATCTGCAACATTTGCAAATGTATCAATTGCTATTAAAATCGCCCGAATGTGGAATTTCATATCGATCTCCACCATTTCAAAAAATGTATCGCACTCCCATTTGTGAGTCGGATTCGTATTCTTGCAATATGTGCTGCAGAATATGGCATCCGGGCAATGTTCACAGGCGATAAAATTTGCATTTCCTCGATAGCATGTATGGCAGACCAGCCTGTCATCTTCTCTTGCCATCACATAGCTGTCTTCCAGCAAAATTGTTTCACCGGCTGGAATATTCCGTGTCGCAATCAAATGCCTGCCAAGTTCTTGATTGTACTTTATTTTAATCACATCAACCATGCACGGAAAATCGTCGTCGGACTCATAACTCAGTTGGCATGGACGTTTTGATGGAGTCTTTTGTATACGTCTCAATGTACGACTTTCCTGCTCGCAATGCTCAAGCTTCGGAATCAGGTGATCAGAAATATTCGCCTTCTTGGCTAGTTCAATGTCGACAAGAGCCTCATCATACATCCGCATGTGGAAGAAACACGCCGATCGGTTTGAATAGGCCAAGGCAACATTGCTTGTGCCAACTTTAGCATAACACAAACTACGGTTGTACAAATCCATTGCTTCTGGCCATTGATCCAAACGGAATTTGACATTTCCTTGGATCCGGAGCCTTGTTGACAATTCATTATTCTTTCGAAAACGGAACGAATTGAGTAAATGGGCTGATTTAAATGCAATATCATTCTGCACAGATGCGAAAAGATTCACGTACGGCGAATCAGCTCGGTTTGTTTCCTTCTTCCACAGATTATTCATTTTGTGCCTAGACCGATTTGAGGTATCTTTGGAAAAAATAACGCTTTTTTTATGATTTGGTTTTTAATTTTTTTTGTTCAACTTACTTTTATATCTTTTTATAGAGAGTTTTTGTGCGATGTTGTATTACAGCGTGAAAATGTTGTGTTTGTGTCAAATTGACAACATCAATTAGTCGTCGAAACGATATTAAATATAGGAATTGTTCGTGTTCTTGTCGAAAAAATGACAAAAATAGCAAGAACTACTACTACAATTCTGATGGTAAAAATTATCGTAAAATGTTCATTACTTATTTTATCTATATAGGAAATAATCTTATTTAATCTATCTCTCTATCATATGAAAGAAAAACTTTATGTTGCACTTTAAAACTAAAATATTCTGTGGGAATTTATTTGTCGCAACGCTTCAAATATGGTATGGCATTTCATTCAAAAATTGTCAACTTCTGGTTTCTTGAAAAATTATTGTCGATATAAATATTTAACTTCATTCTTCTTCACTTTTTGAAACTTGTTTTTGTGTGATGTTGAATTGCAGTGAAAATTCAACAATGTCTTTAAATGTCTTTCAATGTCATCTTTCTTCTAATTTTTTGTTCTGTTTGAATATTACTTATTGAAACAATCCCATTTTGAACAACAAAAATCCAAATGATGAATGTATTGCAAATCCAGCTATTGAAAACTACAGACTCATTTCAATAATTATCCATTTTGTCCCTAGTATTAGTATTCAAGGTGTTTCAATAAGGTGACCTTTCATTCGTTTTATTTTTGAATTTCACATTTTCTCTTTACGGTCTATTGTGTCTAACATAATGATGAATAATGTAATTTTAGAAGAATGTAATCCTTGGAAGAAAAAAATTCTGTTTAAAATATTCGTTACGAAAAAATGTCTTAAATTGGAGGATTGCAATTTTAACTCGTATTCGTCTTTATCGTTATCGTTTTTATTAAATATTCAAAATATAAAACATTTCTCGACTCGTCCTCAATCAATTTTGTTCTTTTTAGCTTCATTATACATGTATAAAACCATTGTATATGGTTTAATTTCCAATTATATATGTCATTGAAAAAAGTCCTGTTCACCGTATTCATTACCAAAAAAAAATTCTCATTTTCTTATTCTATTTCATTGTCTTATTACAAAAAATTCAACTTTATGTTAATAAAAAAGTATTGTTGAGTAAATAAGTAGGTGTAAACAAAAAAAATATACAACCTCGTCTAATGAATGTGAGCTTGGCTCAAAACAAGTGATGCATGCGTGTTCACTGAACACTGTTCAGTGTAGAGTGAAGCAATGTTTAACAAAGCGAATTTCTGGTGTCAAAACCAAATGGCCGAATTTTTGTAGAAAATTGACGCACTCCTTCTTTAGCTTTGGGCGGATTCTTAGGTCGGAGTTGCTTTCTTTGCAGTGGCTTTTCTGGCAATTTTCCGCGATGAACTTCCATGATGCGTTCGATGTAATCTTTTTTCGATCGTCACGTGACAGTTTATTGGGGCTGCTTTGGAAGACACACTTTGGGCACTTGCACTCGAAATCCCATGTTTTGAGGGCCTTTCGTCGATATTCCAGTGACTCTTTACATTCGTTGCCCAGGTAATTGATAAAAATCTGTTCACCTTTTCGAATTGGTCGAACGGTGACACAGTGGCCAACTTCATCGGATGTTGAGTAATTGAACACGTTCGGCACGCACGAGTGATTAATCAGAGACAAAACATCGTAGATGTAATCGGTGAGAATCCAGTCTCGGTGGAAACGTTCGTGCCGGAATGAATTCTGTGGAATGACCATCAAATGATGAAGAGTCAAGTGCATCAAAAATCGCCTTTTCCTCTCGGTATCAAACAAACGCTTGACTTGTGCAATTGACATGAGCGATGTGTACGCTTGATACGCCGGATAAATGCGTTCTTCGTTGAGAAACGGTGACAAATTCAAGAACAAGGCATAGCGTGACGTTGAATTTTTCGTTGATGTCGGGATTCGATTCGCTCTGCGCGTTTGTTCAACGAACTCCATCAAATGGTCAACCGACGGAAACATTTCGATGGCCATCAAAGTCGTTTGAATTGGCAGCTTCAACGTTGTGTCACCGATAACATGGAAAAATGAGCGACATTCCAACTGATGAATGGCTTTGTGTTCCGAGCACGAGCCATAACAGAACACGGTGCCAACACATTTTCGGCATGGAACGAAATTTTGCTCGATCTTGTTACAATTTCTGCAGCACAATTGATTGCCGACCGCTGTGCCCGATGCAAACACATTCGTCACCAACACCTCTTTGCCCGCATCAATGTCACATTTTGCGACGATGTGACGACCGAATTCATCGTTTTCGCGTATTTCGAGCACATCAGCCATGCATGGGAAATTGTCGTCCGGATCGAAGCTCAGCTTTGGCATCGGACAATCAATGCCGAATCCAAGCCACAAGAACTTTAGGCATTTGTCATGAAGACGTTTCAAACGCTTTGTCACACGCGACGAGTGTTTCCACTTGATTGCCATTTTGATGTCGATAAACGATTTGGTGTACATTTCCATTTTGAAAAAACACTCGGACCGATTAACGTACGCGAGACTTTCGTTCACGCTGCCGGGCTCGGCAAAACACAAACTTTTATTATAGCTCAACATTGCGCCGCTCCAATTGTCAACCGAGAACTTGCGATGGCCTTCGATGAGATATTCCGTTGACGTTTCATTGTTCTTCGAAAACTGCTCGTACTTGTTTAGCCACATCAAATTTCCACTCAGCAACTGGTCCCATTCGTTGAAAACGTCACGGTGGCTCTCTTTGACAGCCGCAAAATAGTCAACGTACTCGGAGCTCGTATCATCTTTTGCCCACAAATAATCCATGTTGTTATCCAATTCTAACACTTTTTTAGTATCAATTTCGTCGTTATCAATGATTTATTTGATTTATTTTCAATATTTTAAGTTATGAAATTTATGGGAAAATACTTTTTCACTCCACGCGTTCGATGTGAACACACGAACGAGCTTCTACGCTTCAACTGTCAAACTGAAACACGATGAAAAATGTCAAGCCAATATATTACACCCACAATGCTGTGAGTTGAATTCGAATGTGACACAGATTTGCAACACAACGAGAAACAACATGATCAATCGCGAAATGTGTGAGTTGTTTATGCAGCAGTGTTTAAAGTGCCCAATGAATCATCATGCAACATTTCACTTATGAATCATTTCAAAACATTTTATAAACAAAGACCAGCATTTTTATATACAAACAATTTTTTTTTTTGAAAATAAACTCTGCCAAAGCAATCAGTTCAACTCAAAGTGTTGAACACTGTTCAATTCGACTTTGTTTCATGCATGAACTGTTTTATAATATCCTTTTTCGACTGAATTTCAAATCATCCACTTGCTAAGCAAAAATGACATTATTGTTTACTCAATGTGCATGCATTAGCAGAAGCAATGGAAAAAAAGAAGACTGTCTCGCATTACCCAATGTTTTTTTTAGATAAAAATTACGAATTGCGATTCGCTAGACCATACAAACAATCGAATTAAGATTTCAATGCAGCTGATTTACTTCTGATAAACTTCAATACCGCAATGACTGTATGGATGAGATGATTAAAAGGTTTAAAAGAATGAACAAAAGCATGTCTTTTGTTTGAATGATCGCATTTTTATTTCGTCTTGTGAACAATTTTAAGAGATAACTTAAGAAATATTCTGTAGCTTTTCATGGAATACTTATTTTAAGTCTTTATTTTCTCATTTATAATCGATTTACCAACTCACAAAATTCTTTTGAAGCGAGTTTTCATTTACATTAACACTATGATTGTTCTTGGGGCACCCAGGGCCCCCAGCGAACTTTAAAGTTGAATAAAAGTACTAAACAGTGTATAAACCAACCGGAGTAAAGTCTCATTGTATAGATTGAACATTTCTCTACACGAATGAAAAAAAACATATGCATATGTGTGAGTATGTGTAAAATACAGCCTGCCGCAAAACATGTTACGCTGTTGTTTTTGGGGGACCACAGGGCCCCATGGCTATTTTATATTATAGCTGGACTATGATAAGAGATATCGACTTGGTGTCTATGACGAAGTTGTAGTACTCAAGCTGCTCTACAACTTCGCCGTAGACATCAAGTCGTTATCTCTTATCAGTTACGCGAAAAGCCGCGAAAACGTGAAAAACGCGAATTCATAGATTCTTACTTTTCAAGGAACTGATAAGAGATAATGAGATGGTGTCTATGGCAAAGTTGTAGCTCTGGTCGAGTACTACAACTTTACTACGACACTCTTATCAGTTACGCGAAAAAATGATAAGAAAAAAATCGCGTTTTTCACGGTTTTCTGCGGTTTTTCGCGTATTCCGCAAAACTGATAAGAAAAAATTCGCGTTTTTCACGGTTTTCGCGGCATTTCGCGTAACTGATAAGAGATAACGACTTGGGGTCTGTAGCGAAGTTATAGCACTTAAGCTGCTTTACAACTTTGGTATAGACACCATCTCGTTATCTCTTATCAGTTTCGCGGAATATGCGAGAAACCGCAGAAAACCGTGAAAAACGCGAATGTTTTCTTATCATTTTTTCGCGTAACTGATACGAGATAACGACTTGGGGTCTGTGGCAAATCATAGTACTCGACCAGAGCTACAACTTTGCCATAGACACCATCTCGTTATCTCTTATCAGTTCCGTGAAAAATGATAAGAAAAAACACGTTTTTTTCGCGGTTTTCAGCGGTTTCTCGCGTATTCCGCGAAACTGATAAGAGATAACAAGATGGTTTTCGGCGAAGTTGTAGAGCAGCTTGAGTACTACAACTTCGTCATAGACATCAAGTCGTTATCTCTTATCAGTTACGCGGAAACCGCGAAAACCGCGAATTTTTCCTTATCATTTTTTCGCATAACTGATAAGAGATAACGACTTGGTGTCTGTGGCAAAGTTGTAGTATTTGACCTGCTCTACATTTCTGTCGGAGAGGCAAGTCTCTTACTTCTTATCAGCTTCACTAAAACAATGTCGGGAAATTTTGCGATTTTCGCGTTTTTTCGCGTTTTTCGCGGAACTGATAAAAGATAAGCAATATTTGTTGCACCAAAATTATAGCAAACTTTGAGTATTACAACTTTGCTTCAGACACTAATTTGTTATCTCTTATCACAGTCCAGATTTCATATGAAATATCTTGGGGGCCCTGGAGTCCCCCAAGAACAGTAATATGTTGCAAATACGAAGAACAGTCATAGTGTTAAAGATAGATTCAACATTATCGGTATAAAAAAGAGAGGACGAAAATTATCTGTTTTTATTTCATATCAAAATCGACTTTTTTTCTGTTCATATTTGTCGGAGTAGCATTTGAAGTTAAGTTGAAATTAGAAGTAAAAAACAAAAATGACGAAAATGACCTTATTTCAAGGGTGTTATATAAAGTTCTTGGAACGTAAGTGTAAAACATGATGACATAAATCCGATTTCCTTTGACCATGGCAAATGTCCGTGCTCGTTCAGAAATTTCCGGCATTGTTCCAAAACTGCTGAATATTTTCGTTTACGGGGCATATTCTTCAGTGCAAATTGGAAACATGGATCACGAGCCAGATGGGTGTTACCATTATTGATTGCTTGGCATTTCTCACATTTGCAATCAAAATTCCAATACGATTTCAATTGCATTTGCCTCTCTTCTGTTCCTACTGCATCGGCAAGACCCAAATAGTTGATGCAGAGCTGTTCGCCTTTTTTTACAAATCGAATTGTTTCACAAAAACATTTGTCCCCAATAGAATAGTTATGAAGATTTGGCGAACAAGAGTGGTTTATCATGGCAAAAATGTTATCCAATGACTTGGACTGATCTTCTTCGATTGCATTGGTCTTTATGATGAGAAAATGATGAGTCATCAAATGCAATAAAAATCGAGTCTTTTCTTCGCCATCAAAAAGAGCATTGATTTTGGGGCACATTTTAATGCACGTAAAATATTTGTAGACGGAGAGAATGTCTCCATTCGTATGCGGAAATTTCTTCAGTTTGAAGAAGAAGTGATAGTTGGACTTCAAGTCATCTATTGATATCGGAATCATTCCGCGATCTTCACGCAATGCACTGTCAACGAATTCCATGAGGCCTTCAACACTTTGGAAACTTTCGATGGCCAACAAAACCGCTCGAACGTGGAACTTTTGGTAAAAATCAAATTGTGTCATAGCTGAACCACATTCCCATTTGTGACATAAGTTTTTCTCGATGCAATCGACATCACAGAACGCAACACCCGGGCATTGTTTACAAGCGATGAAATTTTTGTTCTTTTGAAAGCACGTACAACACGAGATTCGTTCATTGTCTTTTGCTGCGATGAACTCTTTTTCCATCAAAACGATTTTTCCAACTGGGATGTCCGATTTGGCAACTAAATGTCGACCGAATTCTTGGTTATATTTGATCTCCAATACATCAGCCATGCACGGGAAATTTTGGTTTGCTTCGTAGCTCAGTTTGAAGTTACGTGTCATTTTCGATTTTTGAGCGGTTTGCATCAACTTATGGCATTCCTGTTGACGTTCTTCAAGCGTCGGTAGCCAGCGATCGGGTAGATTTGCACTTTTGGCCAGCTCAATATCTGCCAATGCTTCGTCATACATCCGCATACGAAAAAAACAAGCCGACCGATTGAAGTAAGCCAACGCCACGTTCTCTGACCCGATTTCCGCAAAACATAAACTTTCGTTGTACGAATCCATTGCCTTGGACCAATTTTCCGCTTTGAAAAATTCGTTTCCGCGCCGACGTAATGTGGTTGAAAATTCATTATCCTTTTGTATCGGTATGGTCTTCTTTCCAAATTTTTCGATAATTCCTTCACCAATGTGTTCCATGCCGTGCATAAAAGGAATTAGATCAACATACCGAGCTCCAGCTTCAGTTGATTCCTTCTTCCACAAATTGTCCATGTCTGGTAGTGTCGTTGAATAATTTTTCTATCGAAATATTTCATTTAAATTCATGTTGTTTAAGAAATTATTTCATTGAATATGCTACCTACCGTTTGACTCGTGCTATTTCTTTGAATGAAAATGGAAAATGGAGTCAATATGTGAATAAGTACACGATCAAGCTTTTTTTACTTTTTGATTTGCATTTTTCGTACTAAAATTGGTTCTAAAAATGTACCGATGAACGTCTGTCAAAATGATTTGAATTCGAATGAAAACCCGTAGATTTCAAAACTGTTCAATGTTTTCGATTAATTTTGATATTTTACTCTGTTTTATTCCAAAGGATTATTTAATAAAAATGCTAACAATGAATAAAATAATATTTTATGGTATCGTGAAAATGTATTTGTATGAACATCGTCTACAAATTGTAATAAACTATGACAAATATCCGTTGAATTAACAATTTGTTATAAATTGGAATACAATTTTACAATACAGCCCAAGGAGTTTCTTACGAAAAGTTTCAAGCATGGACGAGATTTGATGAGTTCAGAATCGATAGCTTCGTTCCTCAGTATATTTTATCTGTAGAATTGGAACAAATTCACATTCGATTTCGCAGCGTAGTGCAAGATGATACCATATGTACTTGAAATTTTTCGTTCATCGATTTGTCAAAGATTTTTTTTTATAAACAATGAATAGTCTTATTTTCGATATAGTTGTTTGTCTTTTTATTGCCATAATTTCAGATGTACAGTTTTAATGTTTTTATAGTTGAATTAGAGTTAGTTATTTTTTTCTCTTCAAAAACTCGACTCATGTTGTCCGGTATTTTTTTTATACGTATCCTTTGCGTTCGCATCTGTTACACTTGCAATCGAATCCCCAATTTTCCTTCAGATATTTCCGCCGTAGATAGGTTCGTTCATAAAGCTCTTCGCCCAAATAACTGATGAACACCTGATCGCTTTTTTTGATTCTTCGCGCTGATACGCAGTAAATGAGGTTTCTTTTGAAGAACCAGTCCAAATTTGGCGAACACGAATGATTAACAATAGATAAAACGTCATAAATCTCATCGGTTGTATACTTATTGTCAGTGCCGAAAACATTTTTTGGAATAACGATTGTGTGCTGCAGCACTAAGTGCATCAGAAAACGTTGTTTTGCTTCTGTATCAAACATTTGCTTGACGTTTGGCATAAGATTGATGTATTTGAATGCCTGATATGCGATGCGATACACGTAGTCATACTTCAAATATGGCTCCAATTTGAGAAAAATTCCGTATTTCGATGGCGCATCACATGATGTCACTGGTATCTTATCAAAACGTTTGTCGCGTGTAACCTCTTCGATGAATGTAATCAGATTTTCAATGTTGGGGAAGATATCAATTGCAACTAAAACTGTCCGAACGACGAGCTTCAGGCGGGAGTTGCTGATCTGATGATAGCATGTTTGACACTCCATTTTATGCAAATTGTCTTTGTTGGCGCACTCTTCGTCGCAGAACATAACGTCGGAGCAATTTTTGCATGAGATAAAATTCATCTCCATCTTCTGACAGCTGTTACAGTACACTTGCTTCTCGGCTGTGATTGCTGTTGCGAAGCTCTTAGTGACCAACACCGTTTTTCCCACTGGAATATCAGCATTTGCAACCAAATGTCGACCAAATTCACGGTTGTACGTGATATCGATGACATTCGCTAGGCATGGATGATTTTCATTTGCTCCGTAGCTCAATGTTGGAACCCATTCTGGTGACTGTTTGATTTTGTCCAACCGCTCTCGACATCGCTGTTTGCATCGATAGAGTCTTGGGATCAAATGAGTCGGGGCATTTGAACTCATCGCGCGTTCAGCATCAATCAATGCTTTCTCGTACATATCCATATGGAAAAAACACAATGATCGGTTAAAATATACAAACGAAACATTTTCCGATTCGTCTGCGTAACGCAAGCTTTTATTGTATGAATCCATTGCATCGGACCACTTTTCGTCTCGAAACAAATCATCTCCACGCTGACGAAACGTTCTTGAAGATTGATTATCCTTGTGACCTGCAGACGTAGTACTCAATTTTGTAAACTCATCAATCAACTCTTCTTTTTGTTCGTCATCCAGATGAGCAAACAGATCAACATACTGAGCTCCAGCTCCAGCTCCTTTTGATTCCTTCTTCCACAAATTCTTCATGGTTGACTGTGCCTTTGAACAGTATTTCTATTGAAATTTTTCAATTAAATTAATGTTTCTATGATTTTATTTCAGTGAATGTGTTACTTACGGCCTAATGCGTGCTATGGCTTTGAATGAAAATGGCAAATGGCGTCAGTGTGTGAACAAGTACACGACCAAGCTTCTTCTGCTTTGGATTCGCATGTTTCGTACTTCGTACTAAAATATGGTTCTAAAAATGTACCCATGAACGTCTGTCAAAATGATTTGAATTTTAATGGAAAACATTCAGATTTCAAACGTATTCAATGTTTTCATTCATTTGATATTTTACTCTGTTTTATTTAAAAGTTAAAAGGCTAAATATAACAATACATGAAATAAATTTTGAAAATGCCAACAATCAATGAAAACTACTTTATGGTTTATGGTATCCTGACAATGTGTTTGTGTGAATATCGTCTACAAATTGTAATAGACTATGGCAAATGACCGTTGAATTAACAATTTGTTATAAATTTGAATACAATTTTACAATACAGCCAAAACTCGAAGCATACGTTTCATGTCCGTTGTGATTTATTTCTTTTGGGTTTGCATTTGTTACATTTGCAATCGAATCCCCAAGTTTCCTTGAGATATTTCCGCCGTTGACTGGTTGCTTGATAAACTTCATCGCCCAAATAGTTGATTAGCATCTGATCGTCTTTTTTGATTGGCCGCACAGTTTCGCAGTAGATAACGTTTTTTTCGAAAGACCACTTTAAATTTGGAGCACAAGAATGATTGACCAACGAGAATACATCATAAATGTCCTCGGTTGTATGCTGTTCCTCAGTGTTGAATGCATTTTTCGGAATAACGATTGTGTGCTGCAGCACCAAATGCATCAAAAAACGTTGCTTTGCTTCTGTATCGAACATTTGCTTGACTTTTGGCATAACATTGATGTATGAGAACGCCTGATTTACGTGAGTTAGATATTCATTCTTGAAATAAGGCTCCAATTTGAGAAAAATTCCGTATTTCGATGGAGCATCACATGATGTTTTTGGTACTTGGTCACAGCCTCTGTCATTTGTCACCTCTTGAACGAATTCAATTAGACTTTCGATGTTGGGAAAGATATCAATTGCAACCAAAATTGTCCGAACGATGAGCTTCAAGCGGATATCTTTGATCTGATGATAGCATGTCTGGCACTCCATTTTGTGCAAATTGTCTTTGTTGGCGCAGTCTTCATCGCAGAACATAACGTCGGAGCAATTTTTGCATGGGATGAAATTCATTTCAATCTTATGACAGGTGTGACAATATGCTTGCTTCTCGGCTGTGACTGCAGTGGTGAAGCTCTTAGTGACCAACACTGTTTCTCCAACTGGAATATCAGCTGTTGCAACCAAATGTCGACCAAATTCACGGTTGTAATTGATATCGATGACATTCGCTAGGCATGGATGATTTTCATTTGCTTCGTAGCTCAATTTCAGAACCCGTTCTGGCAGAGATGACTGAAGCGCACCGAGTGACCGAGCAACGGCCGCACGGACACTGAGTTTGCGTGCTTAAAACATGCTCAGTGCGATATTGCGCTGCAGCACAAACAAACCCACTCCATGAAGAGAGTATAAGCGCACCAACGGAGTGCGCTACACCGCACTCGTACACAACGAAGAAACAATAGAGAGAATATACAAAGAAAGAAACACAAAGAAAAGAATAAGACAATACACACTCAACTCTTTATATGTGTGTATAAACCATAATAGGCAACAGAGTTAGAGTGCGCACACATTTCTTAACAACAAAGTCAGAGTGCGCACATAAACTCATAACGAAGTGAGTGTAAACGCACAGAGCAGAAAACGACTCTCAGTTGAGTTGCTGAATACGCTACTGAGCGTGCGCTTAGTCATCTCTGCGTTCTGGTGACTGTTTGATTTTGTCCAGTCGCTCTAAACATATCTGTTTGCTTCGATCAAGTCTTGGAATCAAACAGGTCAGGAAATTTGAACTCATTGCATGTTCAATATCAACCAATGCTTTCTCGTACATCTTCATGTGGAGAAAACACGACGATCTGCTCAAGTATACATTTGAAACATTTTCCGCTTCGTCTGCGAAACGCAAGCTTTTATTGTATGCATCCATTGCTTCGGACCAATTTTTGGATCGGATCAAATCATCTCCACGCTTACGGAACATTCTTGAAGATTGATTATTCTTTTCGCCGAGATGAAAAGCAAACAGATCAACATACTGAGCCCCAGCTTCGTTTGATTCCTTCTTCCACAATTTATCCATTGCTGATTGTGCCTTTGAACAGTATTAAATAGAGAAAAAGTTAAAGAATAAACAATTCCGACCAATTTATATGTATATTTTCACAAATTTTCTCTAATCCACTCCTTTCACTCACCAGAAACTTACTGTGCAGTCAATGTGGAATGACGCCAATATGCAAATGGAGGTTACGTTTTCTTTTTTTGATTCAATCTCAATGTACTAAATGTTGTGCTAAAAGTGAACACGAAATCTACTTTATGTCAAACACTCTTGGTCGGATGAACAACGATGAACCATTGTCGAACCTCGGAATGATACAAACGCTAAATATACTCATGGCTAAAAAGAATTAAAGTGTAAATCATTTTTTTGTCATCATGAAATAAAAATCACATTTTCGGCATCGATTACAAACTTTATTACTGCTTATTTTTGCAAGATTGAACAAGCGGGCTTTTTCTTTGATACCTACAATATTGATGTAATTTCTATTGCTCAAGAGCATTTTGTTCAGGGGAATGCTAATGCCAATCAAA